TAAAAGAACCAAGAAAATGAGGTTGGATAAAAAGCTTGAAAGCTATTGAAAATAAAGCTTTACACTTGAAATATAGCGCACAGATTCCAAGCCAGAACTTAATCAATACCCATATTCATTTCAAAAACCATTCACAAACCAGTATCACTTGTATCACTTATCCCATTGTTTAACTCGAGCGAGCAGCAGTAACGTCTCCATTTGTCCTGGTTTCGTGCTAGTATAGCCCAGTGGCGTCTGCTCACACCAGGAACACAAAAAGCATGATTTTAGCAGCCTCTCCTTACTCGCCCTTCCCAACGCTGCCATATTGGGGGCTCTTTCAGGGTCAGGGGAATGAGATCCACTGTTACTGTTTTTGGCATATCGAATATGTCACGGGTAGCTTGCCAAGCTCTGCCATATGGGCGGGATACCCTTGGTGGGGGGAAGGAGGGGGACAGAGGCTTTTAGGGTGGCCTCCAGGAAAAACTGAGTAGCTCTTTTCTGAAGCTTTGTTTTATAGTCTCTGGATCTTGGCCGTAGATGAGATTACATGGCGCTGGGGACAGTTTGTGGGTGTAAACACCTAGAATTGACATTCAGAATCCTGCAAGGAGGCCTTTAGTCTTCCACTCCAGGGTTGAGAAGCTCACTCCCCATCTGCGAACTGCAGCCCACTTACCTGTCTCCTCTCAGAACGGAAGTGGCAAGGCTTTCTCTAATCATCACTCCTAAAAGTCACTTATCTGATCTGAGAGAGTAAATGCTTGCTTTGTGGTCCATCAGCAAACTTGAGTCACTACTTGGCCTCTGTTCACTATTTGAGTCACTATTTGGCCTCTGTTCGCTTGAAAGCAGTCACAGACAACATGAATGGGAATGAGGTTTCAACAGATCTGTAGTTACAAATACATCCCATTGGCTAGATTCCTACTTAGAAATACCATTTGATTCTTGTGTGTGACTAAGGGAGTAGGTCACGGTTTTATTTTATGAATCCCTGTTCTGAAATTCATTTTTTTTTATGTGGTTCTGACCAGTTTTCCAATGTTTTCCTCTCCACTTCATTTTTGACAGATCAGCCAGATGACAAGGTTTCTGACAAGGAAAGAGAAACAAAGAACGAACGAAAAACAAAAGTCCAACATCGATTTAGTGCAGAACAATTGCAAAAGTTAAAGGTAGAATTTACACAAATCCCCTACCCCTATTATGAAATGAGAAAAAAACTGGCCAAACAATTCCACTGTGAAGCAATTATTATTTATGTGAAAGGGTGAATTTTATAAGAAGTGTGTATAGGAAGGCACAGAATTCAGATGGCCGATATTGGCACAAACACAATATGAAAAACAGACGAACTCTTGTGAAGCAGTGTGATAGCATTTTTATCACAAAACTGTGCTTTGGGCTACAGAACTAGTTCAAAGGGGTGGAGCGTACGATGCTCCAATCCCCGGGATGATTGATGCCACATAGTCCCCCCACCTACAGCTGGATCTGGCCCTGGTGACCCCCTAGATTGCTTGGGACAACCCCTATTTTTCTCTTTTTAAATGTGTCTATTATATGACTGTAGTAGAATGGATGTGTTGGTTAGCACACTAGTCAGGAGAGGTGACTAGGACTGATAAGGAATTTTTTTTCAGTGGCCATATCCTGAGGTTCCTCTTGGGGGGTGGGGGGGATGAAGAAAATGTGTGGCAGGGATCAAATGGGTTCAGGTTCAGATCATTGGAGGGATGTGCTCTACTCTATCACTTGAGTTATCTCCCCCAATAAGAGTCTTAGTACATTCTGGTAAGTCTTAGTACATTTTGGAGAATATGTGAAGCCAGAAATAGCCCCTAAGCACCACCAGGTGTGGCCCCCAAATAAAACAAAGTAGTGGGTATGGTGTAAAGAAGAATGGGGTAGGAAGGGTGTCAGCACGATGGCAGCCTGAAGAAAGCAGCATCTGCAGGAACAATGCACTGTGTGGGAGGCACAGCTGGCCGTCCTGCCAGTTTGTCTCTGTGAACAAGGGTGGCAAGACAGCAAGGCGGGACCAAGATTCCACATGGCCTGTTTTTTTTCTTTTTTTGTAGGAGTACTGCTATTTACTCAGCCACTGATTAGCTGATTGAATTGTGCATGAACTCCACCTTTTTTTTTTTCATTTTTTATAATTTTATTTATTGAATCACTGTGAGAGCAGTTACAAAGTTTTTGGGTCTAAGTCTCGGTCATACAATGAAACACCCGTACCTTCACCAGTGCCCATTCTCCACCACCAAAAACCCCAGTATTCCCCCATCCCACACCCTCCCCCTGCCTGTGGGGCAGATGATTTCCACATTACTCTCTCTCTACTTTGATCACATTCAATATTTCGACACCAGACCCACCATTATTATTTGAGATTTTACCTCAACACTCAGATCTGCTGAAAAGGCAACAATAGACAATTTGTGTTCTATTGCTGGTTATGAATAACATATGATGTCGCATGGCTGCAGTAGGGCCATGTGGTATTGAAATTCCGAAATTTTAACACTTAAATCTGGAGGGATTTCTGCCAAAAGCCACTGGGTTTCGAGATCTGCTCCTGAGTCTCTGGGATCATAGCCGTTGAGCAGCTTGATGAGGAGCCAGAGAGGCCGTTCGTGGGCGATGACTTGGGGTCTCGGGGTGGGGAGGACAGGCCCGGCTCCTCCCCATCCCGTGAGGCCCAACAAGTTTCGTCACTGTGGGCCCAAGCCTGACTGTCCAGTGGCCTCTGGAGAATGATGGCCACAGAGCCACCAGAAGGAAACAGGCGGAGGGACAGCACCCTTTCCCCCTGGGGTGGCCCGGCGACAGTAACCTACTGCGGGGTCCGGACACATTTCTCACATGGCCTGGTTTAATGCAAATCATGAGGTCCACTGTCAGCAGAGGTGCAGCTAGTGTAAAAAAGACCCCTTCCCACCGTACACTGGCCCCCACCTCAATCTCTTACCACAGACCTGGTCCTGGAGCAAGAGTTTTTCTCACTGTCAGAAAAAACTACTGCAAAAAGGCAAAAAAAAAAAAAAAAAAAAAAAAAAAAAAAATCCCATGATATAGTAATGCACTAAAGAATATAATCAGTGTTTGACAAAACACCCTTTAGACCTGGTTCCAGAACAAGAGAGCCAGACTTGCACCAAAAGAGAGACACAGACTCTTTCTCAGGTGGAGACAGGAAAACAAGATGCCAGTGTCCCAGGACTCTCAGACCAGAGCTCCAGCTTCCAAAATGCAGAGCAGAGCGTCTCTCACCCCCAAGGGTCTCTCGTGAGTGGAGCTGCTTGTTCCCAGCAGGTGGGACCCGCACCTGGAAGCATCACTGCAAATCAAACCAGCTTTGGGTTTTGCCAAAATTATAGAGGAAATGGGCCTTTTTCTGCCTATCCTTTCTCCAGTAACAACACAGCCACAGGTGCTCAGCATCTCACACCATTTGTGCAGTATTTTGACAGAGACTGGGCAGGAGCGGGGACAAGGCAGTTCACGGGCCCCTTCCTCCCCATTATGCTCTCCACGTGCAGATGAGGCAGGAGGGACAGCAGCATTGTGGGGGCTGGTGTCATCCTCAGCCGCCTCCCTATCCTCACTACCAAGGAGAAGGCACCTGGGAATACCATCAGGAGCAGATGCACCCACCCCAGAGCCCTGGGAACCTTACGCACCCCTGGCCTTCCTATCAAAGGCAGCCACAGCAGGGCTATCCTCAGGCCTCTGGAGAGACCCTGTCCCCTCCATCCTGGCAGGCGTCTCCCCAAGACGACACAGATTACTACAGCTTCTACAGTCAAAGTGATCACCAGCAAAACCAACCAAGAAACCAGCTGCAGCAAAATTGGGGTGAAGGGCCTGTATTTTAGTCTTACGAGAGAAGAACCAGTTTCCTTCTTCTGAAAGCCCAGTTTCCTCCTTGGTTGTTTATGCCAATATTACTAAATGTGGCTGGGGATGTGGCTCAGTGAGAGAGCATATGCTTTGTAGACGCCGTCTCATCCTGGCATCACCACCCCACAAAAAAGCTACCTTTTAAAAACGGGGAGGAGCTGGACAGGTAGTATAGCAGGTAAAGCATTTCTCTGGTACTCAAGATGGTCCCCAGAGAACTGCCAGGTGATCCCTGAGCAAGGGGCCCAGAGTAAGCTCTGAGCACTGCCAATTGTAGCCCCAAATGAAAAATAACTTAAAAAGTAAAAATATTGGGGCTGGAGAGATAGTATAGTGGATAGGGTGCTTGCCTTACATGTGGGCTGACTAAGGTCCGATCTGTAGCATCCCATATAATCTCAGAGCACTGCCCAGATTAACCCCTGAGCACTGCTGGGCTTGGACTAAAAACAAAATTTATTACATATAATTTTTTATGAATAATAAAAAGTAAAAATATTTTTTAAAAAAATTTTAAGTATTTGGACTTAAGCTAGGCTCCACCAAGAGTAGTAGTTATCTGAATGGAACTGATGATTCCCGAACACACACCATGTGAGACGAAAACTCCATGAAAGGCGAACTTGTAAGCAAATTCCCTTGTCAGCCTCCCTCATTTCCTTCCTCACCTACTAGGGTCAACACTGTTTACTTGTGCTGGGGACCTCTAAATGCTGGCATGGAAACCATTTTCCCATTCAAGGAACAAATCTCAAATAATCGGTTCTATCTCTCCTTCTCTTGTCAGCAAGGAAGCTGGCTATGTGTCTTCTAATTCAGTTAGCTGAAAGTCATTCCCAGGGATACCAATTCATACAACCACTTGCAGTGGGACCCCTGCTGGTGGCTGGACTGGTGAGTGGACGTGGTGCAGCACGCCAATTGTGGCACACCCACTCTTCTCGCCTGGCTCCTCTCCCCTAGGCTCTCTGGTGCAGATCTTCTCATTGCTCCACTCATTACAACTAGTTTCTTCCTAAAAGCCATTGGCTCTGAAATGGAGCCTCTTTATTGCTTTTAATAAATGTCCATTCCTGAAAGATTTTGTGAATATAATAAGACATCTGTTGAAGACTTGAATACAAAATTTTATTTGCAGGAATGAAACAATACAATGAAGAACTAATGCATTAGTTTTTTAAGTCTAGCACAGTCCTTAGCACAAAACTACCCTCAATAAATAAGAGTGCATTACTACTAACCAAGTCAGGCTATTCTTGAGACATTCTAAAGTTTTGTGTGATTTGCACAACTACAGAGAAACATGTATTACAGAACAAACAGACAAATACTCCAAGAAAATAACAGTCAAGAAGCAGGGTCCCCAAATATTATAGCAAAAGGAATAAGGACTTTTCAAAGCAAAGCTCACTGGGATTTGAGAGTACTCAAGATTTTGTTAACTTTCCCTATTCCCAAATTCTTAATTTGGAAACCATTACAACCTAGAGAAGCTTCTGCAAACCTCAAGAGTCTTTATTCATGTAAAAAAAGATCTATCTTCCTAATTTTCCTCTTTTGACTTTGTCACTAGTTCTTGTCATCAAGAGAGGTTCCATTCCAGAAAAGGCTTACTACTGTGTAAACCAATCTCTGGCTTAGATTTATCCATTCACAAACACAACTAATACTGGTAGAGAGAGCTCCAAGTGTATCAATTTCCTTTGTTACCTTGCTATACAGTTCTGCTTGGGTACAAAACCTAACCTTTCTACAGCAATGACAGCACTGGCCAAAAGACAAGGGTCAGCTCCAAAACAAGAATCTCTGAAGTTTGGGCAGGGATGTGGCTCAGTGGTAAAGTTACACGCTTTGCGCATGTGAGGCCCTGAGTTTGATAACCATCACATACACACACAAAAAAAACACCCTCTAAAAGTTCAATAGCCACGGAAATCTTTTTCATTGCCTCATCTGCCACACATTTTCCTTTACTCACAGTATTACGAATTATTTCTTTCGGAATTCAATTCTCCGAGCTACATTATGAGGACCGAATTTTTTGACCAATGCATTTCGAGTAACCTCATCATCTTTTTGTAAATCTAAGTCATCCTGTCGGGACCAAATGGGATACCCATCAGCCCTCTGACCAGACTCTAAAAAAGAGGAGGTAGCCTCCAGCTCGCCACTATTTTTCAGGAAAGCCTGTGTAACTGTTGACAGGTCCAAATTAAACTTTTCCATTAACTGCCGGATGATCTTAATAGCAGCCCCCACCTCAGGGGGAGAAACCTTTTCTTCTTCCTCCTCCTCCTCCTCCTCTGGCTGTGTTTCCGAGTCTTCTTCAGGAGGATCATCATCACACATTGTTATGTGTATTTCAAAATCAGGACTCTCCTCCACCTAGAAAAAGGAAGGAATTGGACCAGTCAGTTACTCAGCAACATCTGATCTGTCCTAATGACCACCTTCTTGCCCTTTTCACTCCAGTCAACCTAGACTTCCTTTATGACCTCTCATGTTATTTCCTACACTCACTTAAATTGGATGTATATACACATGATGGGGAAGACAGGAAGTGTATCTATAGGTGAAGAACATTTATATGCATGTGCATGCATATATATGTTTAACTATGGTATTGCAAAAAAACAGTTCACGGTCACAGTCCTCCCATTGTTCATCGATTTGCTCGAGCGGGCCCAGTAACGTCTCCATCATGGGACTTGTTGTTACTGTGTTTGGCATATCAAGTACATCACGGGGAGCTTTCCAGGCTCTGCCGTGCAGACTAGATACTCTTGGTAGCTTGCCGGGCTCTCCAAGAGGGGTGGAGGAATCAAACTCGAGTCGCCCATGTTGGCTGCATGCAAGGCAAACGCCCTATCGCTGTGCTATCGCTCCAGCCCCAAAAAAGTTAAGATGTACCAAATATGAAATATGTATGCAAGGAATACACATATACAAGTATGTGTATGCATAATGACTAGAGTATTAAGTGTGACATCACTCAGATTATGTAAATTCTGTAAGAGTAGGAACTATATCATGTCAATGACAGCACATAATATAAAAAATTTAATGCTATATGAATATATTTGGACCTGGACACTACATTTAGGTACTGTACAAAGTATGATATGTGAAATGAGACCTGTTGAGTCATTTGAGAAGTATTTAGAACATTTAAAAGTTTACAGAAAATAAAAAATTTAAAAAATCACATCACAAGTCAATTAATCCATAAATCCTGTATTCCTTAATGCACCAATTACAAATACTTAAATAGTATTCCTTTTGAGATTGAGGCCTAATTAACTTTTCTTTTTTTTTCCCTTTAATAAATTTATTTATTGAATCACCGTGAGAGCAGTTACAAAGCTTTTGGGTTTAAGTCTTGGTCATACAATGATGAAACACCCGTCCTTCACCAGTGCACATTTCCCATCACCAAAATTCCAGTATACCCCCATCCCACACCCTCCCCTACCTGTATGGCAGAGTTTCCACATTACTCTCTCTCTCTCTGCTTTGATTACATTCAACATTTTGACACCAGATCCACCATTATTTTGTGGGATTTTACCCCACAGTCACATCTGCCAAAAAGGCAACATTAGACACTTTGTTTTCTATCGCTGATAATGAATAGTACACAATGTCGCGCGGCCGCTACTGCAGCCACATGACTTTGGAATTCTGAAATCTTAATTAAATCTGGAGGGATTTCAGCCAAAAGCCACTGAGTTTGGAGATTTGTTTCTGAGTCTCTGGGATCATGGTTTAAGCCGCTGGTTCGTGGGCAGCGACTGGGACTCCTGTGGGGGCGGGGGAGGAAAGGGCTGGCTCTACTCCCATCCCATGAGACCTGGCATGTCTCCCGCCGGCCCCCACCTGGCTGTCCATTGGCCTCTGGAAAATGGTGGACCCTGAGCTGCCAGGGGGAACAGGCCAAGGCACGAAACCTATTCCCACCTGGGGTGGCCCGGGGCTGGTCACCTAATGCAGAGTTCGGTTGTGTTTCTGCCAAAAGCTGCTGGGTTTGGAGATTTGTTTCTGAGTCTTTGGGATCATGGTTTAAGCCACTTGTTGAGTAGCCCCAATCTAATTGGAACTTTTTTAAATTTCTCATTAAATTTAAAATTAAGTTAAATTCATTAAATTTCTCCTGCCTTTATGATTATATATGGGATTCCAACAAAGTACATGAGTTATTAGAAGGTAGTCTGAAAAAGTTAAAACTTGATACAGCATAGCAAATTACTTTTGAAACATTACATTTGCATCTTTAACCTCTCCCTTACCTCTGTGGGTTGAGGTGTATGAAAGGGGGATACATAAGTGACTAGCAGAAGTGAGAGGCTGAAAAAGGGAGACAGGATGATCAACTTCAAAGGAGAAAGAACTTTTTAAAAAAAAGATAGTTAACATACCACTATGTCCTCAAACTCCCTGGTGGCTTCCACAAGCATCTTTTTGACTGCTTCTTCATTCTCCTTGATGTCTTTCTTTGCAATAAATTCCTCTTCTGGCAAGTCTGGAGTTCTCTTGTTCTGTGGTTCTATTGAAGTAAACAGCACCAGATTGGAATTAGCCTCTTTTGCAGAAACCAAAAAGCACACTCTGTTAAGTTTGGGTCGGAACTGAATATGTACTTTTCTTTTCTATCTCTGATTAGGTCATTAAAAAAAATACCACTACAGACTTAGTAGTTAGCTTTTGTCAAGGGAAAAATAAAGAGCAAAGAGGATAGGGATGTTTATGCACAAACACACAAAAAAAAGTATACACACAAATTTATGTGTATATATATGTATGTTCAATAATTTCTACTTGCCTCAAAGACATACTTTTCCTAGGTTGTTTTCTTTTTAAAAACAAGTATTTGAGAAGTTAAAAGAAGCAAACACCCTGTTGGGGGGAATAAGAAAGTAGCAAAAATACTGCTGCAAGCTTTGGGAATCTCAAAGAGGGACGCCCAGATTCTGGCATGTAAAAGGAAACTTCAGTTTAAGTCATCTCTTCTGCTCTGTTTTTGATTTTAGAAATTAACACAACCGTGACAGAAGCTGGGTTCTATGGGAAGCAGGTCTGAAAGTGGGGGTGACCCTGGGAAGCACTTGTGGAAGAGAAGAAAACTGGGGTAGGTGGACAGAGAAGCTGAGTTGTCCAAGCCTTCCTTTTCCAACTAAGCTTCTGCTAAAAACTGACTTCTGAAAGGTCTTCAGAGTTGACCCTTCAGAGGTAGGTTTTAAAACTATGTTTTAAAACAGCCTTTAAAACTATGTATGATCATTGACGCTGGCCACCCTCAGATGACAGGCCTTTGGGCAGGTGGCTCCTAGAGGTACAACTACAATGCACACAAAACAGCTACAAAAAAGCTAAACATCCCCATTCCCACTGCTCTTTATTCTTTTTCCCTTAACAAAAGTTAACTGCTAAGTTTGTAATAGTTGTACCGACTTTGATTTCCCTAAGCATCACCAATCGTCCTGGAGGTCCCCCCAGAGCCTTGGGAACGGCCCTGGTACTCCCTGGCACTGCAAGGCCAGAGCAGCACCATTTCCTTGGGTCCTAGCATTCAACCAAACAGTTCGGACCTAGAATTGCCAGGAGGGGCCCTGGAGCCCCACTTGGAAGACCAAATATATTCATCCCAGCCACCATCTCGCGGGCAGAGAAAAGGCCCAGAGTCACATTCCAAAGAATAGACCAATAAATCTTCCCAGGTCAAAGCTCCTCAGATTTCCACTGTCACCATTAGGTAAAAGAGCAACAGGAATAACGGAGAAGGTGGAGAGAAAGCTTTTCTCCTCAATCAACAGGGCGTCGACGGGGCTGCATCCTGAAGGTTTTTGCAGGACCAGTTGTCGTCCAAGCCCAGTCCGAACGTCCAGTTCCACTGAGCTAAAGCCTCACTTCACCAGGAAGGCCCAGGGAGGGGCCCCAACCGACAAGACCCTGGGGGAGGTGGGGCAGGGAGGGCCTCCCGCGGAGGAAGTCACGGCCTTGGGTGCTCCTGGGAACCAAATGCGGTGGCGGTGGCAGGAACGATCCGGGAATCAAGCCTGGGTAGACTCCAGACCAGGCCACTTCTGAACCCCTCAAAGAGAACGATTTTTTTTCTTTACTTTTTGGGTCACACATAGCAATGCTCAGGGGTTCCTCCTGGCTCTGCACTCAGGAATGACTCCTGGCGGTGCTTGGGGGGGACCATATGGGATGATGCCGGGGGATCGAACCTGGGCCGGCGCGTGCAAGGCAAACCCCTTACCCGCCGTCCGACCGCTCCAGCCCCCTCAAAGAGAACAATCTGTGGCGGACACGCCCTCTCCAGCCAAACCCTGACTCCCGAAGCTCTCCCAGAACTCTGGAGGGTGGAGCTCGTGGGGGGGGGGGGGGGGCTCTCCTGGCTCTGTGCTGGCAGGCCACCATCGGCAGGTGCGAGGCTGAAACCGGGGTCCGAGGGGGTCCCGGGCGGGCGAGCGCCTTGCCCCGCCCCCACCACCCGGGTTCCCGGCTGTGGGCCCCCCCCCACCGCCCCCCACCCCTGGGCCTCGAGGGCAGCAGGTGGGGCTGGCGGGGGGGGGGGGGGGGAGGGGAGGGGGCGGAGCCAAAACCTTCCATCCCCAGCAGCGGGGATGGCCCCGCACAACCCCCCTTACACACACACACACACACACGGGGGTCCCTCACCCCCGCTGTCGGCCGCCTCGGGGTCCTGCTCGGCCTTGCGCTTGAGCTTCTGCGTGGCGGGGCTGACGGGCGCGTCGCCCAGCAGGTACTTGTGCTCGTGGCCGCGCAGGTGCTTGAGGTAGCGGTCGCGCAGCGCCTGCCACGGGTGCGCCGTCAGCGCGCTCTTCTCCATGGCCTTCCAGAGCGCCGTGCCCGTGGCCGCGCCCGGCGAGCGCGAGTTCTCCTTCACGTACGTCAGGATGGCCACGTCGTCGGCGTCCGAGAAGGCCAGGCGGCCCGTGAGCGCGGGCGCGGGCGCGGGCGCGGGCGCGGGCTCGGCCTGGGCGGCGTCGGGGCCGGCCGCGGCGCGCAGGCGGTAGGCCTCCAGCTCCAGCTTCTCGTTGCGCTCCACGCAGTCCAGGATGTACTGCGTGGAGATGAAGTCGCCCGCCGCCTCGGCCGCCGCCTCGCCCGGCTGCGCCAGCAGCACGGCGCCCGGCTCCTGCACCCGGCACACGGTGCCGCCGCCGTGCAGGATGAGCGTCGACAGGCGCCGCTTGGCCGGGCTGGGCCGCACGTAGAAGGACATGGACGAGCCGTCCGCGTTCACGAACAGAGTCGGCGAGTGCGAAGGCCCGTTGGGGTCTTTGCCCAGCTCCAGCCCCTCCGCCATGGTCGGTCCCGAGAGAGAAGCACCCACGGCGGCCAACGACCGTTCGCTCGCCTCGGCGACCGCGACCCGCCCGCTCGCCGGCTCCCCGCGCGCGGCCGGCGAACGCCCCGCTCCGGCGCACCCGCCCTCCACAACCAGCGCGCGCGACGGCGCCTGCGCGAGGCCGGCTCCGCCCCGGAAGAGGCGGGGCTTCCTCTCCCGCGGCCCCGCCCCTCCTCCCCGGATCCGGGGCGGGGCCGCGCGCCGTGACCTGGAAACTGCGGGCCGGACCTCACTCCTTTCAGGTCGGGCCCGCGGGGAAGATGGCAGCGGTGCAGGCGGAGGCCGCCAAAGTGGACGGCGGCGAACCCAAGCTGAGCAAAAAGTAGGTGTCGCGGCGGGTCACGGAGGCCCCCGGGGGACCCGAGCGGGTCCGCGCGGAAGCGTCTCCGAGGCTCCGTCCCGAGCGGCTGGTGTCGGAGGCCGCCCTCAGGGGCTCGTGGGTCGGGACACGCCGGGATCGGGGAGCCGCTACGCCCCGGAACTACAGTCCCCAGGGTGCCCCGGGCTCCCCAGGGTGCTCCCGGGAGCCGCGTGCCCGGGGCCCAGGACCCCCGAGGGAGACGTCGGATGGGTGGGTTGGGGGGGAGGGAGCCCTGAGAAGAAAAGCGAAACTCGACTCCTTGCCTTTCCTCCTCCGAGATGAGCGTCCCGTGGAGGAAGTTGGGGGAAATGCCCCGTTTTCAGCCCGTAGGGTCGGCGCTGCCCACGCCGGCCCGAGCCCCGAGTGCCCCGACCCGAGGGGGGAGAGTCGGGGGCGGCGAGTGGCCGCGTTGGAGGGGACAGCCCGCGGGGGGGAGGGGGATGGGCGCGGAGCAGCCGCCCTCCCCTCCCGACCTCAGTGCCCGCATATGGCAGGGGGAGGGCTGGTTGTCGTCCTCTGCAAGTTGCGGCGCCGCCGGGAACCACCACCCCGTGCTTAACCGATTTCTGACTTTTTTTGCCCGTGATTGGCGTCTGCTTGGGCAGGGACCGACTTCAGGGCAGTTTGGGCACCAGGCGGTCATCTCGGGGGAGATGCGCGAACGTTGAGGAGGTGGGGGTTGGAAGCCGGGATCCAGGAGGCGAGCTTGGCTTGCGTGTTAAACGTTGGGGCCCCCCAGGGCGGGAGAGAGAATACAGCCCCTAGGAGAGTCCCGTGGGCAAGCTGTTGCCTTGCAGGGGTCAACCCAGGTTCCGTCCCAGGCACTGCAATGCCTTCTAACCCCCCTCCTTCCGGCGCCGCCAAAAATGATCCCTAAGTGTGGTGCCCAGAATAAACCTCGGAGAGCCCCCAGGTGTGGTCCGGGAGGGGGGAAGTTGAGTCTCCCATTGGCGTTTCAGAGGAATTGTATTAAAGGCATCAGTTCTACCGGTACGTTACCTGGCCATATGGGTACTAACCACCCCACACCCTTTAATACTACATTCCCTGGAGCACAGCACAGGCCTTGGTTGCAAGGAGTGTTTCTCAGCCCTTGGAAGGGCGGGCACAGCTAATAGAATGGCGGTTTCCCGGGAAGAAGTGGCTTCTACACAGGACTGCTGACTTGGAGCATTGGGGTTCTGTCCTCTTGCTGGATTCTCCTATACCTGCTGGCTAAATGATTAAGGTGTGCCATCTCGGCTAGGGTAGAGAGGTAGGCCAAAGGAGCACCCAGTTTTGCACCACGCTCTACCGGCACCTGGGGGAAGCACCTATTAAAAAAAATTTTTTTTCTCTCTCTATGGGTTTATGAGTTAGATATTTCAGAAAAAGGAAGTGACATTGACCTGGTCTACAGGTTGATAGTACCTCAATATATCACTCTCCTGGGGGAAGCTCCTATAAATTTTTTTTTTCTCTATGGGTTTATTAAATTACAGCTGCCACTTTTTTTTTCTTCGTGGGAGCACATCTGACATTGCTCAGGGTTAACCTCCTGGCAGTGCTCAGGTGACCATATGAGATGCTAGAGATCAAACCCAGGTCATCTGTGTGCAAGACAAATTCTCTGCCCACTGGACTGTTTCTCTGGCCCCAACCCACAGCTACTGCTCTTCAAGGCGTCAGCCGGTCTCCAGCCCACCATTGCTTATGATCCCCTGAGCACTCCCAGGGAGTGATCTCTCAGAATGGAGCCAGGAGTAAGCCTCCAGCACAGCTGGATGTGGCCCCCAAGCAAAAAGAAGATGCTGGTGTTGTTGTATGTTCTGGTGGCTGGGGTAATATAATTCTTATATAAATAACTTTTCCTGCTATTTGGGGTTACTCCCAAAGATACTTGGACCCCGTGGTGTTTGAAGGCCAGCAACACTACTCCCAGTTTGGGGGTGGGGCAGGGCTTACTTTCCTTTGCCAGCTTTGTGGCCTAGTACTTCATCTTGAGATGTCGTGCTAGGAACTGAAAGAGCTGCCTCTGTTTTCCCCTTCCCTTATAGTCCTTGCTGGCTGTTGCCGCAGTGACTGAGCTGTCACCGACCTGGCCGTAGGGCTGGAAGATTTGGTTGTGATGCTGGCTGGGGGTTGCATGCTTTTGGTTTTGGGACCACACCAGCGGTGCTCAGGGGTTACTCCTGACTCTGCACTCAGGAATCACTCCTGTTGGTGTTCAGGGGACCCTGTGGGATGCTGCATGTAAGACAAATGCCCTGCCCACTATCACTCCAGCCCCAGTTACACACTCTGAGCTGTGCTGCTTGTACCGATGCCTGCCAGTTGTGGTGTTTGCAAACACTCAGTTGTGCCTCCAGGGGGTCGTTGTGACCCACTTTTTAAACTCCCGCGCTCACTCTGCTGGCTTTCAGCGGCCAGGTTGTTGGAGGTCCCCCACAGCCGAGCTGCTGAGACTGCACTCAAGCCAAGCCACCAGTGCTTAATGCTAAGACGTCCCCTGCCCCGCCCTTCTGTTTGGATGGGGGGCGAGCCAGCCCAGACACGGGAAGCGGGGCTTCGCCTGAGCTCTTGACAGGAGCAGCACTGAGCAGCGTGTGCGTGAGTGGTACAGGGTTGGAGTCAGTGAGGATCTTAAGTGGGACTCTGAGGGGCTGTGCTAACCCCACACCCCCCACCAAGTCAGGAGAGCAGGCAGGTGCGCGGGGTGGGTATACTGCACTGGGCATCCCATCTCATACGACGTCTCTGTTTCCTGTTAGGTGGTGGTAATTAGCTCCAGGGTGTTCTGCCATGTTGACGCAAGCGGCTGTCAGGCTTGTTAGGGGGTCCCTGCGCCAACCCTCCTGGGCACAGTGGGGGCAGAGGGAGCTGCGACTGTGTCAACTTGCTCCTTTCACAGCGAGTCACAAGGACAAGCCACTTTCTGATAAAAGAAGGTTGGTGCCTGTTACCTTCTTCCTTGCTGTGGGAGCGAAAACTCTTTCCCTTCCTTAGTGCTTAGCTGTTAGAACTCAGGCTAAGCCCCCATGCTTGATGCGAAGGAAACAGCCCTCCTCCACTTCTGTATTTCAGACTCTCCTCCAGATTCTGGAGATGACTTTATGGATCTTATTCTAGGATCGTGCTAAGAAGAAAACCCTTCTGTGATTAAGAGATTGTCTTGTTTGGGGGGTGGAGGGAGGCACAGCCAGCTTCCTTAAGGTTTACTCCTGGCTCGCTTCTTCGAGATCACGCCTGGTGGGCTCCGAGACCATATGGGTAACAGGGATCAAACCCAGGTCAGCCACTTGCAAGGCAGGTGCCACACTTGATGTACTTCTGTTCTGGCCCCAATAAGGAATTCTTAGTATGGGCTGTTTTCCTTTTTCTGGCTTCCTGGAATCTAATCTAAGTTCTGTCCCTAGGGTTTCTTATTATCCTTACTTTTGCTTTATTCTAGTTGAATGGAGACTAGGGTTATTCTCTGTTGATGCTGGGATGATGGCTGCAAAGTCCCAATGACTGACATCCAGCACAGGCGGCCTCATACTTTGGGGGATGTCATGTTCACCACTGCCACAAAACAGATGCCACCTACTTTTTTTTACTTCTCAGAGAAACCCTGCATTTATTTTCTGTAAAGAAGATGTCAGCTCCAAATTTTAAAATTCTAAATTCATTGAGAAATTAAAATGGTCCCCTAAAGGGACAGTATGCAGGCAGGACTGGGCCTGTTGACCATGGTTCTATTATCCAAGTCTGTTTCTGGGTTCAGACATAAGGGATACCATTTATCCCCCATCACTTCAATTTTTTCGATCTTAATCACAGATAACAAGTTTGGAAAGCAAGGAATTTCATCAGAAACATATCCAAATCTGTAAGATTTCGATCCTGGGTGCAGATGGGAGAGAGGGTAGTAAGGAGGGCCAGGAGAGCTGAGCAGGCTGAAGCCCACGCTTTCACTCGGGCTCATTTGACCCCGGACTCCACATGGTCCCCAGAGCACCACCATACCCGAAGCAGCTCCTGAAAAGAGTGCCCCTCCGCCCCCCCAAAAAAGAAAGATCGTGAGTAGTGCTTACACTAGCTCCTGCTTGCACACCTACCAAATGTTAGGGACAGGAATGTCCCTTTGCCTCAGTTTTCACGGGAAAGGGGAGGAGTATCATTACTCCCATCTTACAGACCGGAAGCTTAGCTGTTTGCCTGAAGCCTCATAACTGGTGGTGGCTGTATCAGACATTCAGATTCCAGAGATGGCCTGTCACCCCCGTCCAGTGCCGCGTGTAGTTCTGCCCGTTTCATTGTCAGGTTGGGGCTTTACGTGGCAGAGGGGAGGCCAGTGCTTAGGGACAGGTTGTCGGCGGAGCGTCTTGGGCTCAGGCGCCCCTTTGCCCCATTTCCCCCCTGACTGATTCCGAGGGGAGGGTCGTGGGAGTCTTGCTGCTGCAGCCAAGGCTCAGCTCCCTGCGCACAGAAGCTGGTCTTGCTGGTTTCTGGGATAACCCATTTTTCTATTTTAAACGTAAACTAGTAGAGGATTTTCTTTGTGCTAGTGTAGTCTAATTTTAGTTGGGATCTAATGCCAAGAACCACGGACCAAAATAGAGGCTTAAGTCTTTCACTCCTTAGTTCTAAGCTTACCCCCTCCTCACCCCCCGCTTTTGCCTGTTAGTGACTAAGAGACCCAAAAGGGAGGTGTTGGGTGGAGGCGGGAGCCACAGAACTAGGAACAGCATTGAGTTTGGAGAGTGGCAGTGGGGGAAACTGTACTAGAGAGCTTTGAGGCCAACCTCATGCTATGAACATTTTTATCTTCCCCACAGTGAGCTGAAGCGACGCTTAAAAGCTGAGAAGAAAGTAGCGGAGAAGGAGGCCAAGCAGAAGGAGCTCAGTGAGAAACAGCTGGGCCAGGCTGCCGCCACCAACCACACCGCTGACAATGGTGTGGGTGCTGAGGAGGAGAGCCTGGACCCCAACGTAAGTCCCGGGACCCCCACTGGTAGTTGAGGCTCTGGGAATCTTGTGAGGAGGCTTCCAGTCCTTTCCTTGGGACCAGAGTCCAGAGACTGGGCAGTGGGCCGAGTCCCTGTAGAGGGACAAATGTGGGCTCGCCACTCCTTCGGGCTAGTCAGCGGACCCTGAACTCCTGGCAGGCACTGGGAGAATCGTGTTCTCCGAGCCTCTTCTTCCTGGGCCTCCAGCAACCCCAGAGAAGGTGATTCACCTTAGAGATTTGCTCTGTTCCCCAGGACACATCCTCCCTTGCGCCCCACCTCATCCACCATCTTGATAAATAATTCTGAGGGAACTTGGCCATATTTGTTTATTTGTACTGTCTGAGGATTCCACACTACAACTGCAAATGTGCATCATTTCTGAGTAGTTACTTCAGAAAAACTTGGCTCAACACTACCCTAGAATATTCCTTTTCACCTGGGCCTGCCGGATATAGTGAGTGTGTGGCCAGTGATTGGAGAGATGAACCGTGATTGCCATGAGGATGAGTCCACAAAACTGGTAGACAAAGCCATATAATCCGATTGTCCTGATTTTGGACCGAAATCCAATTTGTTTTGGTTAAATGTTGCATTTTGGAGCTCTGGCCTTCGTTCCAACTTAGGGTGCAGCCACCTTGCATGTTTGAAGGGAAAGTCCCATTCCATAATTAATCCTGTGATTACAGTGATATAGAGGGCTTGGTTTAAAAACTTAGTAGAGGGGGCTAGCGAGATAGTAGTGGTTGCTAACTCTTGCAATCATTTGCCTTGCACATGGCCGACCTGGGTTTGATTCCTCAGCATCCCAGATGAATGCATATGAGATGTATCCTGGAGCACCTCTAGGAGTGATTTCTAAGTGCAGAGCCAGGAGTAAGCCCCAAGCGTTCATTGCCAGGTGTGCCTCCCCCCTCCAATAAAATAAAACCTTAATGTAGATTCGGGCAGATAGGATAAAGGGTAAAGTACTTGCATTGCACACAACTGACTTGGGTTTGACCCTGGGATATATGATCCCCTTACACTGCTGGGTTTGGCCCAAATGACAAAATTCAGACGGATAAATTGAATATTCTGTTCAGTGGTCCCAGGTCTGCCAGCATCCAACTTCTCCAAAATCGGTTTTTGTTGTTTTTAGCAATACTACAAGATCCGCAGTCAAGCAGTCCACCAGCTGAAGGTCAGTGGGGAAGACCCTTACCCACACAAGTTCCATGTAGATGTCTCGCTCACTCACTTCATCCAGGAATACAGTCACCTGCAGCCTGGAGACCACCTGACAGACATCACCTTGAGGGTGGCAGGTAGGAAATCTGCAGTGTTCCGCACACTGGGGTGGCAGGACTCTGCACGGGCACAAAGGAATGCCAGTCTGGTGTCGTCCTGCTCTCAAGTAACCTGTCAAGGTTACTTTCCTGGGACTGATCCAGAATACCTGTCCAAAGAAGTCCAGCAGGCATTCGCATTCCTAGCAATGCTTAAAGAACGGGGAGTTTTCTGGGGTGAACTCCAGCCCTGATGCTAAGGTCCCAGGTTCTCAGATAGTCCAAACTGTAGCCTTATAATGGTTAGCTAGGGGCCAGAGCAATAGTACGGTGGGGAGGGCATTTGCCCTGCACCTGACTGACCCAGTTCAATCTCCAGCGTCCCTTATAGTCCCTGGAGCACCATCAGGAATGAATCCAGAGTGCAGAGCCAGGAGTATCCCCTGAGTATTGTCGGGTGTGGCCCCCTCAAACAAACCTCCCCCCACTTAAAACAAAAGTTTTGCTATAGAGTGGTTATAGTTGTAGATCATCACCATTTGAAATTTAATATCCTGTGTGGTATCATCCATTTTTAAAATATTAAATAATTACCTTTATTGCATCTCCCCACCCCAAGTGATGAAACTATTAGCTGTAGAAATATGAGAGCATTCAGGGGCCGGGGAGATGCTGACAGGGTACAGGGGAGCACTGGCTTGGCTTTGCATGCTGGAACCTGAGATGGACCCATGGCACTGCCTGGTCTCCCGCACATCACTGTGACCCGCTACTGCCTCCCTGTCCCTGTACTTGATTTTTAGTTTCATCTTCCTTGTCACCCTAAGGCCTTCTCTCCTTGTAATTTTTCCATATGTCACTTCACTTTATTAATTGTCAGTCTGTGTCCTTGAGTGTGTTCATGGCATTGGCATGGCTCTTCACTCTCACCTGTGCTCAGGGCTTACACTTGGCTCCGTGCCCACTTCTAAACCCAAATACCAGGCCAAACAGCAGGTAAGCTCCTTATTTGCTGTGGTACTGCTGGCCTCTGTGCTTTCTCTTTTCATATGAGGATTCAGGAAGATGCTGAAGTCACTGTTGCCTGTGTACCCCCATCTTTCAGGAGTCCAGGAAGGCCTTTGATAGGAGTCGCACAGAGTAGAGCTGGTAGACTTAAGGTCTGCTCCTGACCACCAGGGGCCATTTGGTGCTAGGGATCAAACCAAGCGCCTCTCCCAGCCAGCCATAAACTCAGCCCCTTAGATCCATATTCTTGGCCCTGAGTAAACAAGCTCTAAAGCCAGAACTTCTTGACAGCTTCAGTTTGGTTGGGGATCTTTTGTCTTGAAAGAACAAACAGGACTTAAAATGCATTTGTTATGCCCCGAGGTAAGATGGCAGAGGGAGCCTTTTTGACAACAACACCATGAAATGACCTCTGGTTCTACCAGTATTTTCGCTCTTCTTTTTCTAGGTAGAATCCATGCCAAAAGAGCTTCCGGGGGAAAGCTCATCTTCTATGATCTTCGAGGAGAGGGTGTGAAATTGCAAGTCATGGCCAATTCCAGGTATTCAAACAGCCAGTTTAGGCATCATAGGCTGGCTGCGCCTATGGTACTAAGAGTTAAGAAGCAAAGGAGGGATGTGGTGAGGTAGGGGTGAAATGCTGCTAGTCAGCCTGGAGTCTTAGCTATTCTGGCTCAATTAGCAGTTAAACATGAAAGGTGATAAGCTTTGCATGTAGGTGCCCATTTCACTCACTGGCACTGCCAGGTGTGATCTAAAAATAAAGAGGTAATACAGTTTAAGAGATTCCTCTGGGCTCACATTCACTTGACTGGTTTTAGAGAATATTCCCTGGTCAGCATTAATTTAGAATAACCTGGAAGTCCAAGTTTGGAATGACATTCTCCTTTCAGGAATTATAAATCAGAAGAAGAATTTGTTCGTATCAATAACAAGCTTCGTCGGGGTGACATAATTGGAGTTCAGGGGAATCCTGGGAAAACCAAGAAGGGTGAGCTGAGCATCATCCCCTACGAAATCACTCTGCTGTCGCCTTGCTTGCATATGTTGCCGCATCTTCACTTTGGCCTCAAAGACAAGGTAAGCTCTTGGAGCCCGTAGCTGTGGCAGATGTGGCAAGAGCCCTGTCTGGCAGCACTTTCCATCTGCTGCTTTCCTTGTAGGAAACCCGGTATCGACAGAGGTACTTGGATCTGATCCTGAATGACTTCGTGAGGCAGAAGTTTATCATCCGCTCCAAGATCATCACGTATATAAGAAGTTTCTTGGATGAGTTGGGATTCCTAGAGGTGGGGGCGCGAGTTGCATGCTCGTGAGATGCTCCCTGCCTTCCCCGTTCACGGCACATCTTGTGTCTGTGTCCTTCCGCCTCCTTGAACAGAACCCCTCAAAGGGTCTCTTTCCAGCCTGGTTAGGAAGACAGGAATTAATGGACAAGCTAGAGGGCCATCCCAGTATGGTATCAGGTCATTTGGGGGTTTAGTAGGGTTTTGGTTTTTTACACAAGTGTTCAAAGGAATTTTTTACACATTTGTGTTACAAGGAATTTTTTTTTCTTTTTTTGCTTTAAGCAAAGATGGTCACTCAGGATGAAAGAACTACACACATTGAGTATATTCTGGAGCCTTTTGCCCAAGTGTGTTTATAGTAGTCCTTTCTAAGGCTACAGAGTTTATTTTCCCTCTTGATAATACAGACTGCTATATAGAGTAGATTTCTTGGAAGTAATTCAAAGAGAATAAGATTTAAACAGCACTGTAGGCTGAACTCTATTAAGAATGAGTACTCTATTCCATTTATAATAGCATCTACAGCATGTGGAAGCTTGCGGCATTATGTTAATGCCATATTAATGAAACCAAGACACTAGGAAATCAAACTATCTACATCTTTTACTCCTCACTCATTGCTTAACTTTCACTTGGGAGTGTAACAGACGTAGATTGTCACATGCACTGATCTGTCCCCAGGCTTCTGGTAAGGGCCTCTGTGAACTGAGTTTGTCCCCTGGTAGATCGAAACACCCATGATGAACATCATCCCAGGAGGAGCTGTCGCCAAGCCTTTTATCACCTACCACAATGAACTGGACATGAATCTGTATATGAGAATTGCTCCAGAACTCTACCACAAGGTAATAAAAGACGCTGTTTTCCTAGAAAAGCAAAAGCTGGAAGGATTGGCTGGGCAGTCGATCTCCAAGAGAGGAGGGTCAGGGTGCCAGTGTCGGCAGATTAAGCTGGGAAGAATTCAAACTTGTCAGGCTTGTATGTTGAATGCTTCTAGATCTTTTCTACAAGGTCCATAAAAACACTGCAGGTCAAAAGGTAATAGAATCTTCTTTCCTGGGGGTACAGACCCTCTGACCGCTATTGGTTTGCTTGCTTTGGCACCCATTATATTCAGAAGTTTATGGTCTTCAAGCTGTGAAATTTGGATTCCATCTGACAATTGAGTTTTTTCAGAAGAGCTTAACCTCTGGAAGGTGAACATAAGTCTCTTCCCATAAAATTCTTAATTGCAGACAACAGAACCTACTAAAACTAGTTTGAGCAACAGAAAAACTGTAGAGAAGTTCCATGGGAGCTTAATCACCAGGAAGAGCGGGCTCGGGCTTGACCACACAGTGTCCTTCCCACCTGTCCCCCCTGCATGTGACCCGGAACAAGCACTGCTCACATTGCCCTGTCGTCTTTAGTCTGACAGCAAACGGTCTCCAACTCACCCACCACTTAGTCTGACAAGCTGAAAAGCTCTCACCCCTTTGCCAGGTGAATTCTCTGGTACCTACATCTCCGAGTAGTTTCTTGTCGAAGTCTCAGGTGTATGCGTGCTTCCGAACCCCATGAGTGGCTTCTTGGAGGCTTATCCTCACATCAGCCAAAGAGAATGATGCCTTACCTACCACAGCTCCTAAACAAGGCGCTGGGGGTCTTGGTAGAGACAGGCATGCGCAGCTGAGACTTCAACACCGAGTTCCAGCCTAGGTAGACCCTTGTCACAAGGCCATGAGGCTTGGAGGCAGTGACCCTGCCGTGTGTTACAGATGCTGGTGGTAGGTGGCATCGACCGGGTTTATGAGATCGGACGTCAGTTCCGGAATGAAGGCATTGACTTGACACACAATCCCGAGTTCACCACGTGTGAGTTCTACATGGCCTACGCAGACTACCACGACCTCATGGAGATCACGGAGAAGATGGTTTCAGGTGAGCCGCGACTCTTTGCCGCCTGAGGCTGTGCCAGCTCGCAGGGGTCCGCGGTGGGCCTCTCACCACCAGATCCTTTTCTCAGGGATGGTAAAGCACATAACGGGCAGTTACAAGGTCATCTACCATCCGGACGGCCCCGAAGGCCAAGCCTGTGAGATAGACTTCACCCCACCCTTCCGGAGAATCAGCATGGTCGAAGAGCTGGAGAAGGCCTTGGGCGTGAAGCTCCCAGAAACGAAACTGTTTGACACTGAAGGTAGGTAGAGGGATGTGTGAGCTTGTCTTTTCCGGGGCTCGGCGAGGACTCCCACGCCTTCTCTTACAGACTTCCCTGGGGCTGGGTGCTGCCTTCCGTCCTGACCTGTGTGTTTGTGCCGCAGAGACTCGGAAGATCCTGGATGACATCTGTGTGGCCAAAGAAGTGGAGTGCCCACCGCCTCGTACCACAGCCAGACTCCTAGATAAGGTGAAGGGCTCTGCCTCCACGGGTACCCGGCCCATCACCCCCTAAATGACCTCAACCCTGCAAAACCACTCCTAGGTTTTCCTACAGACTGAAACAGGATAATTTAACAAGCTCTGTGCCCCTGTGGTGCTGGGCTCTGTCAGATAGTCCCGGTGGTGGCTTTTTAATTGTTCCCTGGCTCGGGAGGAATCCCGACCCTCCAGTGTGGGGGATCGCCAAGGCCGCTCCTCCACAGGCTGGGCTGCTCACAGTGCCCTTCATGGTGGCTAACTTGACTTGCTTTCTCCTTCAGCTGGTTGGGGAGTTCCTGGAAGTGACCTGCATCAACCCGACATTCATCTGTGACCACCCGCAGATAATGAGCCCGTTGGCAAAGTGGTAAGAGGAAGCATGGCACTCACTGTCGCATGAGCCCCTTGTTACTGGCATGAAGTGATCATGCAGGGGCTGCGGGCTCAATAGTAGAGCACTTGCTTGCGTGTGTGAGGCCCTGGGTTCGATCCCCGGCACCACCAAAGACACTCATTCTCAGGGCACCTTAGGCCGTGTCTTTGCCTTGTGTAGTGTGTCTGAGGGAACTGGAAAAGCACCCTCCCCCTTCCTTTCTTGTTTTGGGTTTTTTGTTTTTTGTTTTGGGGGAAAGGTTGGCTTTCTCTGTCACACCCAGTGATGCTCAGGGATTACTCCTGGCATGCTTGGGAGACCATATGGGATGCCAGGTATCCAACCCAGGTTGGCGACATGCAAGGCAAATGCCCTACCCTCTGTACTATTGCTCCAGCCCCTGTCACTTTTTTGATTGGTTGGTTTTGGTTTTTGGATCACTCCTGGTAGGGCTCTGGGCATCACATGGGGCACCAGGGATCAAACCTGGGTTGGCCACATGCAAGGCAAGCACTGTCTGCTGTGCACTCGCGAGCAGTGACCAGGGTTGTGCATGTCTGGTTCTATGACCCTCAGCCATACCCTCCGGCACTTTCCAGGGGACCCCAGTGGCGCTGCTGCCAGGGTCTCTACAGCTTTGGGGCCTCGTGTGGGTTTTTTCACCCAGGCAGGTGCCTGCGGCCAGGGCTGTCTTCCCTCGAGCCTCTCCAGAGCCCGCGCTTTCTTAAGGGCAGCAGCTGGCTTCCCTGAGGAACAAACCCTGGCACCACTGCTGCTGTTGGCCAGAGCCAGAGTCTGTTAGAGGGTGGCTCGAGGTAGCTGTGGGCACCTAAGCGACGTACCCCGGTCATCACACTGCTGACGGGTTGGGCAAGGACAGTGACTCCTGCAGCTCTGATCCTCCTGTCGGACCAGGTGATTGGGTGCTGACGTGCATGTGGCCTCAGGTTACACGCAGTGACCTCCTGTCAGAGCTCGGGAGCTCCAGGTGCTGTCAGTGAGGGAGCCTGTCTGCTCAGCCTCCCCTTTTGTCTCCTGTCCCCAGGCATCGTTCCAAAGAGGGCCTGACGGAGCGCTTTGAGCTGTTCGTCATGAAGAAGGAAATATGCAACGCCTACACCGAGCTCAACGACCCCGTGCGGCAGCGGCAGCTCTTTGAGGAACAAGCCAAGGTGAGGAAGAATCTGAGCAAACACGGTGTTCATCGGCGCGCCTGGGAAGTGTCAGCCACGTCCTGGTCTGTAACTTCACAGGGATAAAGGGCGAAGCCCCAGCTTCAGTGGAGGAAGTCAGACTTCAAGCAGAGACCAGCTAATTACACTGGCCTAACGAGCATCATTTCTCTTAGATGGTACATTTAGCCATGTGGCTTGGGGGTGAGAAGCCCATCCAGATTAATACCCGACTTGGGGCCAGAGCGATAGTACAACAGGGAGGGCGTTTGCCTTGCACAGGCTGACCCAGGTTCAGTCCCCAGCATCCCATATGGTCCCCGAGTACTGCCAGCAGTAATTCCTGAGTACAGAGTCAGGACCAACCCCTGAGCATCACCGGTGTGACCCAAAAAGAAAAAAAAAAAATTAATGCCCAACTTTTCCCACTTGCCCCAGCTTCCTGCACTGTCTCTGCCATTGCTGGGTGTCTGAGGAAATGAGGACTTTTGGGTGACTTGGAAATCAGCCTCCCTGAGTGCTCAGAGCCTTGGGCGCAGATGTGTTTCATGGAGAATTCTTAGGAGTTTCTAAGATTTATCAGTCTTAATCTCCCGGTCTTGGGGAGATGACACCATCTGGAGGTGCTCAGAAACCAATTCCCCATGAAGTCTGGGTGTTCCAAGCATCCCCGGAAGGGTTATCCCTGAGTATCTTAGCATAGACACAGAGAAATGGCGCAGCCTGGATCTGTGTCCCCATTTTTGGATTTACTCCCGTAGGCCAAGGCTGCTGGTGACGACGAGGCCATGTTCATAGACGAGAACTTCTGCACCGCGCTGGAGTACGGGCTGCCGCCCACGGCCGGCTGGGGCATGGGCATCGACCGCGTCACCATGTTTCTCACCGACTCCAACAACATCAAGGTAATGGGCCCCACAGCGTCCAGCCCCGACGAGTCCACTGTGTGGAAGAGGCTGACACTGTGGCCATTGAAAGTGTTTGGGTGGGGGCTGGAGCGATAGCATAGGGGGTAGGGCATTTGCCTTGCTCGTGGCCGACCCGGGTTCAATTCCCAGCATCCCATGTAATTCCTGAGTGCAGAGCCAGGAGTAACCCCTGAGCATCTCTGGGTGTGACCCAAATAGCAAAAAAAAAAAAAAAATTTTTTTTTTTCAAAATAAACAAAGTGTTTGAGTGGAAGGAGGAGTGGGCAGGCCTTGGGGTGTAGGTCTACCCTCTGAGGGTAAAGGCTGGTGGGGAAATCAGACTTGGAAAAAAGTGCCAGGGACACATTTGTTCTTTGCCATCCTCCCATTGTGAGAGGCCCTGAGTTGAGCTAACTCAAAGAGCTAGTGGACACATTTTGTGCGCTGGAGGCCCAGGTTCGATGCCCACATCTTACTGACCCCTAGCAGCACCAGTGCAGTTCCAACGCTCAGAATGCATCCGTGCTTTCGGCGGGGGGTGCACAGAACGCAGGTGCTAGCACTCGTTGGAGGGAAAAGCACTGGGGATGGTTGGGGAAAACAGTGCTTTCCACTTTGACTCTTTTCCTCTCCTATAGGAAGTACTTCTGTTTCCTGCCATGAAACCAGAAGACAAGAAGGAAAACGCAGCCTCTGACGCAGTGGAAAACACAGCAGCTGGCACTTCTGTCTAGAAAATAAAAACTACAGGTTCTTTAACTCAGGCGTCTTTGCGTTTCTGCAGGAGGTCAATCAAAGACCCCCAGGGAATTCTTGTGTGCTACCACCCTCTTGACTGTCTCAGTTCCACCAGAAAAAAAGACGAATTAAGAATCCTTTCTGTCTCGGCGGTGGGGTGATAGTACAGTGGGTGGGGCTCTTGTCTTGCACGTGGCAGAAGAGGGTTCAGTCCCTGGCATCCCATTTGGTCCCCTGAGCTCTACCAGGAGTAACCCCTGAACACTGAACACTGCCAGCTGTGGCCAAAAAAAAAATTTCTTTTGACTCCTTGTTAACAAATAAACCATTTGTATCTACTCTTTCCTCACCACACTTCCCTTTACCTTTGGAATGTCAGCTTTTTTCCTTCTCATATGAAAAATGTTTAGGGTTAGCGAACTTACACATTAATACCTGCACTGTGCTGGGCTTTATTCTAAGGGAATCCGTAAAAAGACATATTCTAAAGGGTTATATACTAATAAAATTAAGCAGGATAAGAGGGTAGGTGCTGTTTTGAGAGAGATAAGTAGGGAACATATACCTCTTCTGGGTGACATAGACATAATAGAGACACATCTGAGGAAAAAGACCTTCAGATCTAGAGGACCTTCTATTACTTGGTTTGGGGGTGGCAGGCAGCAGTGCTCAGAGCTTACTCATGGCTCTGCACTTGGAGATCATTCCTGGCAGGCTCAGGGAGCCAAATGGGATGTCAAGAGAGAGAATTCAGGTTGGCCCAGTTGAAGGCAAGTGTCCTCCCCACTGTACTGTCTCCAGCCCCAAGAGGACCTCATTTTGAGCACCTTTTTGGTATGTCCACACTGAATATGGGTGACGGATTCTATTGTGGAGATTTTTGTTGACAGTACTAAGTCCCAAAGATGAACCCTAGAAGAGATTTCCTGCCCTGCCCTAAGAATCTTGTTTTGGCATCATACCTGGTGCTGCTTAGCGGACCATATACTTGTCAAGGGATTCAACTGGGGTTGGCAGTGTGTAAGGAAAGTACCCTAAGCCTGGTGCTATTTCTCCAGCCAGAATTGTTTGAAAGGCATGAGAGGGAATCAGGTACAGGTTAACTATATGTCAAGGAAAGAGGGGTTCTTAGTTTTGGAGGAAACCTCTAGCCCTAGCAGTAAGACAAGTCAACAGTCCATCTTCCAAGAGGCAGCAAGAAAATCATGTCCTCTTAGGGCTGGAGATAAGATACAGCAGGGAGGGCATTTGCCCTGAACACAGCCTACCCAAATTCAATCCCCTGTTCCCCATATGCTCCCCCAGACCCCACCATGAGTGGTCCCTGCATCTAGAGCCAGGAGTAAGCCCTAAACACTGCCGAGTGTGGCCCAAAATTCAAGAGAATTTTCTCATCTTTAGTAATTGAGGTCTATATAATTACTGGACGGTTAGGCCTGTGGATTCTTGACAAAATACCTGTTTCCAGCAACCCGAAGGTTTAGCCCAGTGATGGCTAATGACTGTTAGATGAAATATAAGTGGTCCTGCCTAAGATGTACTTCAGGGCGTGTTCTTTGCACACAGGAGCTCCAGGTTCAGTCCCTGCCACCATATGCCCGCCATGTCCCCCACCCCTGCCCCAGTAACGTTCGGTGTGGCCAAAAATAATACTTATGTGGGAGAATAAGAGACTTCATGACCACCCAGGCACGCCAGCTGTGAGTTCAAGTGCACCACATGTTTGGTGGCTGAGAACCGCCTCTTCCCCAGGCCTTTCCAGCAGAGGAACAAAGACTCACGTGGTCAAAATGGCCCGTTTTGAAATTCCAGAGCTGAGTAGCCTTAATGCAAAATCTGTGGGTTTGGGGTACAGCACTGCGTGTAGGTGTGATTGGTCATTTACAGAGGTAAAGCATTTCGATGGAAGCAATCCTCTTGGGATTAACTCGAGGAGATGCTCTCTGTCTTCCAGGGACAACTATATTGCTTTTCTCTTTCCCCTGAGTAGCAAGGAAACAGTTCTCTGGGCTTCCAGGGCAAGCAAGGCTTTTACCGTAAACCCCAGACTAAGTCCTCAGGCCAGTTTAGCTTTTCCTTCCCCATAGGGGATCCTGTCTCAAATCCCAATGACTTGCATCAAGACCATGCTTTACCTTTCCACTTGTCCCATTTTGATGCCGGGGTAGCTTTGCTGCTCGTCCCAGGTCCATTCAAGTCCTATGGCAGGAACCCCCTCTTTGGGGTGTTAGAAACCAAAGCCCGAGTCAAATCATTATGGATGCACAGTAGTAGATAGATGTCAGAGTGAATCAACTCCCAACTACTAGGGGCATAGCATTAACAGTCTGTGTTCGAGCAAAGAACATTGCTCGACACTAAAATATGACAAGGTTAAAGGGAAATAGAAAAAGCAAGTAACATTACACATATAAAATCCAGAAGCACCAGGTCTGACTTCAGAAGTAACTAAGCCTGACTTGGGGGATTTAGTAGCTAACAATGAGAGGTAAAGAACAAGGAAAGGTTAGAAATAAACTTGAAACTTGGGGGGATTAGGAGTGTTCATAAGAGCACTAAAGTTTCTCTGGAGGAAGGAAAAGGAGCACTTCACTAATGAAGCCTCAAGCAGTTAAGGGCCAGTATTCAACAGGGCCAGAACAGTAAGTAGTACAAGCCGATAAGTAAGGCTCATCCCTTGCACACACCCAAATCAGACCCAGGTTTGATCCCACACCACATTTGGTTCCTGAGCATCACCAGGAGTGGTGTACAGTCAGCAATAAGCCCTGAGCATTGTGGGTTGTGGCCAATATATATGTGTGTGTGTGTATATATATAATAAAATACCTCAACAATTTCTTAAAGTTTTGGTCACACATTGAAATAATGCGCTAATTAAGAAACAATTTCTAGCACCCCATAGGGCCAGAACAAAGGTGTGTCGCTCAAAGGTAATAAGCATTCATTTAATTCACTTGTCAGACTTTTTGAAGCATAGCATCTAGAAAAATTTTAATTACATACCTGGCCAAAACTGCATTTAGAGATCGACGGATATAAAACAGCTCTTCCCTAGACAAATTCTGACCGGCGTTCTAAGATCCACACTCTAGAATTCCGAGCTGCATCGCCGCACGCAGTTTGAAGTCACCTTCCACTGCAGTCTTGCTCACCCCTCCGTGCCCCGAGGGACAGCCCTCACCGGCGTGCCAGGGGAATCCTCGGCTGAAGGACTACAAGGCCCGGCGTGCACCGCGCGCCTGCGGGGCGGGGCCCGGGAGCGCCGCCTCTGTGACGTCACGTCTCTGCGCCGCGGGTTCGGCTCCCTCGGAGGGCGCGCGCCGTGGAGGTGGGCGGTGGGCGCGGCCCGGGGCGCGGGATCGGGGAATGTGGGGCCGAATCTTTCTGCCGGGTCGGGGGGCGTCCCTCTTGCCGGGCCGCTTCGTGGACGTGCCGTGGTCGCCGGGCCCGCAGTGGCCGAATGGACCCTCCCGTCGGGCTGCCCACCTTTGCTTGGCTTTGGGCGAGTTTCTCTGGCTAGTTGGAACCTTGTTGGGGTGTGAGGGGAACTTGTCTATTCAGCCTTTGCCTTATAAGTTTATTTCTGATCCTGGAAAGAGTGACTTTGGATTGCAGTGGACCCCAGATATCCGAATTTAATATATTTAAATTTAATTATTAAACAGAATAAGCGTTTAATGTATTTCAATATGTAATCAATTTTTAATATATTTGGGGGGTGACGGAGAGGGGGCGCTATACCCGCAGTGCTTGGTGCAGATTTTCTGCCTTCATTAAGCATCCTACTGTTTGTGATGGCCCCCAGAAATGAGGAAAACACCACCCAAAGAGAGGATTCTGGCCGCTCCTGTAAGTTTCTTTTGGTCCCTCCAACATGCTCATTCTGAATTTAAAAGTCACTGTTCGTTCCCGCCAGAATTTTGCCTTGAATCCCTGGTCTGGTTTACCATCACCGTGTATGACGTTGGTGGGCTTGCACTTGGGGCTGTCAAGGTATATTACATTTTCTAAGAGTTGACTGAGCAAAAATCAAGTGGGATCCAGTCACACCAAACGAATTGGTTAGGAGTGTCTGCCAACGAACCCAGGAACAGACTTACATAGACAAAATGCAAGCCTTACTCCTGGCCCTGTGCTCGGGGATCACTCCTGGCAGGGCTTAGGAAACTGGGGTTCCAAGGATCAAACCCAGTCACCCCTGTACTGTGTCTCCTGCCCTCTTTAGACCTGTTAGGAGAGATAAGGAAAGCGAAGTTAAGGGGGTTAGAGAGATAGCAGCGGGCAAGGCGCTCGTTCCCCCGGAGCACCACCAGTATCAGCCAGATTCCTGGGCATCACTGGGTGTGAAAACAGAAACAAGTCAACAACCACTGTCATCGTTAGGTGGCGCAAAGCCAGAACTTAAGCCGAGAAAGGCTTGTTTCCAGGACCCGCTGCCTCCAGCCCTGCCAGGCATGAAGGCGGCAGGTAAGAGCTCCGTGCTCACAGCTGTGTCCTGAGACATGAGGAGAAATTGTGTTGTTTCCAGAGGCAGCTCTGGAATCAGCGGATTTATAGATGGCGGGTAGAGTTCTGCTGTGAGATTAAGAAAAGGAAAATGCCCCTGAGAGGCAGGAAAAGAGTTCAGGTAGGAGAAGCCTCGTGGGAGGAGGGTCTGGCCAAGAGATTTGGTGCCCTCGCCAGGGAGAAGCCACGTGCTTGCCTCCTGATAGGTTTTGAACCACAAAAGGTTTTGATCGCCTTCCGGGGGGACGGGGAGATTTGGGGCTTTGATTTTTTCATTCAAGGAGCTGGGAGGTAGGAGCAGCAAAAGGCCAGAGATGGATGCAAAGTGGCCGCTCTGTTCTTTGCTGACCTGATGATGTTTGTGGCTTTTTTTTTGGGGGGGGGGGGGGTCACACCTGGCAATGCACAGGGGTTACTCCTGGCTCATGCACTCAGGAATTACTCCTGGCGGTGCTCAGGGGACCATATGGGATGCTGGGAATCGAACCTGGGTTGGCCGCGTGCAAGGCAAATGCCCTACCTGCTGTGCTATCACTCCAGCCTCTGTTTGTGGCTTTTGACCAGGGCCTGGGCGAGACCATGTGGACCGCGGACGAGATTGCACGGCTATGTTACGAGCACTACGAGACCCGGCTGCCCAAGCGGGGGAAGCCGGAGCCCGACCGCGAGTGGACGTTACTAGCGGCAGTGGTGAAGGTGCAGCCCACAGTGGACCTTGCCTGCAACGGCCCAGACAGACCTATGCAAGGTGAGCCCCGGGGCCTGCTCAGAAGCATAGCAGAAGCCGCCAGTGGCCACCAGGGGGTGCTGTGCGCTGTAGGCCTGGGATGACCCTGTGGGATGTATCGGCCAGGTGCGCCCAGGGGACTCCTCGGAAACCGTCTGCAGACTTGGAAGCTGAGCTCTGGGAACTGTTCCAATTCCAAGAGCTCTCTAACGGTCTGTCCCCCCACCCGCAGTGACAAAGGAAGTGGTCTCCATGGGAACAGGAACGAAATGCATCGGCCAGTCCAAAATGAGGAAGAGCGGTAAGCCTGGTCAGGGTCTCAGCGTGCAGAGACTGGCGGGCCCCCTGCTCCTGGTTCGGGGAGGGGGCCCTGGTGCCAAGGGGGCTTGTGGGAGTCCCCATTGGTAAGGACAAAGCTCATTTGAAGAGGGACAGACAAAAGTGGGAGCCAAGGCTGCCTGGCCACCTCCCAGAAGTTTCCTGGGAACTGGAGACATAGTTCATAGGCCGCCCCCCAGTTCAATCCCTGGTCTCCCATATGGTCCCTTGCGCACCTCCAGGAGTGAGCCTTGAGCACAGAGCCAGGAGTAAGCTCTAAGCACAGAGCCAGGAGTGATCCCTGAGCTCAGAGCCAGGCATGATCCCTGAGCCCAGAGCCAGGAGTGATCCCTGAGTCCAGAGCCAGGTGTGATCCCTGAGCCCAGAGCCAAGTGTGATCCCTGAGCCCAGAGCCAGGAGTGATCCCTGAGTCCAGAGCCAGGTGTGATCCCTGAGCCCAGAGCCAGGTGTGATCCCTGAGCCCAGAGCGAGGAGTGATCCCTGAGCTCAGAGCCAGGAGTGATCGCTGAGCCCAGAGCCACGCGTGAGCCCTGAGCACAGAGCCAGGAGTGATCCCTGAGCCCAGAGCCAGGAGTGATCCCTGAGTCCAGAGCCAGGTGTGAGCCCTGAGCCCAGAGCCAGGAGTGATCCCTGAGCACAGAACCAGGAGTGATCCCTGAGCTCAGAGCCAGGCGTGATCCCTGAGCCCAGAGCCAGGAGTGATCCCTGAGCTCAGAGCCAGGAGTGATCGCTGAGCCCAGAGCCACGCGTGAGCCCTGAGCACAGAGTCAGGAGTGATCCCTGAGCCCAGAGCCAGGAGTGATCCCTGAGTCCAGAGCCAGGTGTGATCCCTGAGCACAGAACCAGGAGTGATCCCTGAGCCCAGAGCCAGGCGTGAGCCCTGAGGGACATAGGAGATGTCTGGCGACATTACTGGTTGTCATGGGGAGAGGGGAGAAGAGAACGTGAATCACCCCTAGTGAGTAGAGGCGGGGATGCTGCCCAATGTCCTCCAGAGGCCAAGAGTATGGGGAGCTGCACTGAGCTGAGACACATCTGTCGTGGCTTCCCTGCGTGTGGGCGAATGGGGTCTTCCGCTCTGGAGACCAGGTCTCCTCATGGTGTCCCTTTGCCCCAGGAGATGTCCTCAATGACAGCCACGCTGAGGTCATCACCAAGAGGAGTTTTCAAAGGTAAGTCCATGGCCCCGAAGAGTGAGGCCGGGGCGGGGGCGGGGAGGAGGCAGCGACTGGACCGGGACCCCAGAGCCCTGGGTCACAGCTGCCCGGACTCAGCAGAGCTGCGGCATCTGGGTGCTTCTCCCCGCCCAGGGGTCAGCAGCGGCCCCGGCCAGTCTTGTCCCGTCCGTCCCGTGGAGCCGGGTGGTTCCTTCTCATGTCCTGCTCCCCGCCAGGTACCTCCTCCATCAGCTGCAGCTGACCGCGGCCGGGCAGGGGAAGAGCATCTTCGTCCCGGGGACGCGGAAGGGGCAGTGGAGACTCAGGCCCGGCCTCTCGTTTGTCTTTTTCTCCAGCCACACGCCCTGTACGTAAGCCTTTGGGGGAATGTTGCGTCGTCTACTCTCTGCTATCTGAATCGCTGATTCATTTCTTAAAAAGCAAAACAGCGGGGCTGGAGCGATAGCACAGCGGGTAGGGCGTTTGCCTTGCACGCAGCCAACATGGCCAACACAGGTCCGATTCCCAGCATCCCATGTGGTCCCCCGAGCACCGCCAGGAGTCATTCCTGAGTGCATGAGCCAGGAGTAACCCCTGAGCATCGCCGGGTGTGACCCAAAAAGAAAAAGAAAAAGCGTAATAACCATAGCGCCGACAGAGTCGCAGCTCTGACCAGTGGCAGGGCCTCTGCGGGAGGGACTGTGCACCTCATCTCTGCTGGCGGGGGTGGGGGCGGGGGGGTGTGCCCCTGGCTTCTACTCCAGCGCCAATCAGGATGGTAAACTTCAAGCCGACACCCCACCAGGCCCGAGAGCCACTGTGGGACTCGGCAGCCAAAGCCTTGACTCTCCCGTGGTCGATCCTGAAACGTGTCTTGTTCTTGCATTGGGCCTCCCATCTCCTGCTTGTCTGCCGCTGTGTGACGGGGATTAAGAGCAGCCCCTGGGGCCCGAGCTAGAGCACAGCAGGCAAGATGCCTCACCTCCCACATGGTTCCCTCCCCGCCTCACCAGGAGTGATCCCGGAGTGGCCCCGAGCGCCCCCAGTGTGCCTTCCCCCGCCCTCAAGGAGAGTGACCTCCATCTGGCCCTGAAAGCAGGGAGAAGGGACATCCATGGGCAGCTCGGGCTAAATCTTTTTGTTGTTTGCTTTTTTGAGGGGCTACACCTGCCGGCGCTCAGGACTTACTCCTGGCTCCATGCTCAGGGATCACTCTTGGTGGGCTCAGGGATGCCGGAATCGAACCCAGGGAGGCCGCATGCAAGGCAGACGTCTACCTGCCATACTTTTCTCGGGCCCCGGCAAGGGATAGCCTTGATGAGTTCCAGGAGGCAGAAGGATCAGACCCAGTCCAGATAGCGGTTTCTGCCTTCTCTTTTCCTTGACAAGGGAGAAGAGTTTCTTCCTTCTGTAGACAGCTCAGTGATGGCAGTAAAGTAGCCTCACCCTGAAAGCTTTGGAAAAAAAGGACATAAACTTTCCCTCTGGGTATCAGACTTCATAAGTGACACATGGGACCTAAATAATAATAGCTCGAGTGGCCGGGCTCAGGCTCTGCATGCAGGAGGACCCGAGTTTGATCCCCCGCACCACATGAAACAAACAAACAAAAAATATATATACAAAACAGCCCTCTCCTGCTCTTACGATCTGGGAATTTGATGAGACTGAAAGTGGTCCAAACCCATCAGTCCAGTGCCGCCAGCTGGGAGGTAGAGTTTGCAGAAAGAACCACCCCGGGAGCATCACCCACCGCCCTGGCGTTCCTTCCCTGTACGATGGGCTGTTTGGTATCTGCACAGCTGCTGCACCTTTGTGCATTTGATCCGCAGGAGCCTGCCGCCGAGTCCAGGCATCTGTCAAGATCAAATCTCAGAGCTGCTGGGGCAGGGGGGGTTGGCCCCCATGAACCCAGAGTCAGTGTCACCTTGTGAGGGCTCTGGAGAGCTCCGGCCGGCTGCTGGCAACACTCCCGCCGTTCCATCTCCTGCCTTCCCTCTCACCCGTGGGGCTGCAGGTGGATGACTGACGCTCTGGGAAAGTGCCACCCTCGAGGGGTGCATTGGAGGCAGCAGCTCCCTTCTTGGGGGCGGGGGGGGGGGGGCGCTGTACTGTACCTGGTTTCCTGCATGGAGTCGGTCAGAAACGGCTGCCCAGCAAAGGAAAGGCCAGTGGGTGGTCACTGCGGTCTGTGGACTTAGAACATGCACCAGCAAGCTGTGCTTAACTGTGAGATAAAACACACACTTTGGGGTTTTTTTTGTTGTTGTTGTGGTTTTGGTTTGGTTTGGTTTTTGAGTCACACCCGATTGTACACAGGGCTTCCTCCCGGCTCTGTGCCCGGGGATCTCTCTTGGCGGCTCTGGAAGCTGTCTGTGGTACCTAGGATCAAACCTGGGTCAGTCACGTGCAAGACAAGAGCCCTACCCAGTACCATCATTTTGGCCCCAATCAAATGCTTTTGTTTGCCAAGGCATCTTGGGACAGGGTAGCATTCCACTAAAGTCACTTGGGAAGCCATGCTCATCCTGAATTCAGTTAGGGATGCTCTCCTGGTCCAGAGAGCAGTCTGGAGATCTTCTGAAGGTTCAGATTGGGGACATGAGGGCTAGTGGTATCTGGTACTACGTGGTATCTGGTATCTGCTTCCAAGAGGACACCCCCAAGATGAGGTATCTAGTCCTCAGTGCCAGTGATGTAGAAGTGGAGGAATCCTGGCCTAAAGTCCCTGGTAAATATCTTGGTAAAATATTCCATTTCAGGGGGGTGGAATGATAGTACAGCAGGGAGGGCACTTGCCTTGCATGCAGCCAACCAGGATTCGATCCCCGGCACCACACAGGGTCCCCCAAGCCCTTCAGGAGCCATCCCTGAGTGCAGAGCCAGGAATATGCCCCGAGATCACTGGTTGTTGCCCAACAAACAAAACATAAAAAAAAAAAACATCTGTTTGGGGCAAGAGAGAGTGAGAGAGAGTACATGCAGCCTGGCCCCAGCCCGGTTCCCAGCACTGCCTGGGCCTCTGAGTGCCTCTGGGAGCTTCCCGAGCACAGGGCCGGGAGCAGCAGGGTATTAGCATCCCCCCAAAAGTTGCAGTTTCTCGGCTCTCCTCCCAGAGCTTCTGCCCCCTGGGGTCTGGAGTAGGCTCGGCCTGAGCCCCACCAGGACCTGAGGATGGTGCTAGCCATGACCCTGCAGAATGTTCATTTCCAACAGGGGCTTTGGAGCTGGTGTGGGCCCAGTGGGAAGCGGACAGCTGGACAAGTCCTGGGGCTTCAGCGGGTCCCTGGGGGGGCCACCGTGGTGGGCCCGGCGAGACCCCTGGCTCAGGGACGGCATCTGTGCAGGTGGCGACGCCTCCATCATCCCCATGCTGGCGCCGGAAGATCAGCCGTGCCATCCGGTTGGTGGAGAGGACGCCTGGACCCCCACCAGGGAGACCGTCACCTGCGAAGACCCCGACGAGCCTGCGAACAAGAGGATGAGGCGTGATCCCGGGCCTCCTGCCTCGGAAGCTGCCCGTGGCGCGGGCCACACAGGAGACAGTGGCCAGGCCCCGTCTAGTCCCGGCCGGCCCGCAGTGGTGGACGTGTATCGGACAGGGGCCAAGTGCGTGCCCGGGGTGCCCGGGGACTCACGCCTGCCCGGGGCCGCCTACCACCAAGTGGGGCCACTCCGGGTGAAGCCAGGCCGGGGGGACAGGACCTGCTCCATGTCCTGCAGTGACAAGCTGGCACGGTGGAATGTGCTCGGGTGCCAGGGAGCACTGCTGATGCACTTCCTGGAGGAGCCTGTCTACCTGTCCGCCGTGGTCATCGGGAAGTGCCCGTACAGCCAGGAGGCCATGCAGAGAGCACTGACTGGCAGGTGAGACCCGGGGGTTCCCGCATGGACTCCCCAGACGGCCGCCAGCACCTGCAGTCCCCGCAGCTCCTAGGGAGGCAGGTCGGGCAGTGGCATCTTTAGAGACGCGAGGAGGGGCCAGGTGGGATGCTCGCCGCGCACGTAGCCGACCCAGGTTCCATCTCCAACACCCCAGATGGTTCCCCGAGCCTCCTCAGGAGTGGCCCCTGAGCACCACTGGGTGTGCACCCCCCCCACACACACACACTTGAAAAATGATGCAGAGGGAGAAAATGAAAATTTGGGGGCCCAGGCTGTAACTCAGTGGCGGAATACTGCTTTGGGTACCTCAGGCCCTGGGTTCAATCCCTAGTTCTGCGGAAAAATAAGGACTTTGTTCCTTTTACTTTGGTTTTGGGCCACACCTAGTGGTGTCAGGGCTTCCTCTTGTCTCTGCGTTCAGGGATACTCGTGGTGGGGCTCAGGGGGCCATTTGGGGTGCAGGGGATGGGACTCGGGTCAGCTGCTGGCTGTAGTTACTCCAGCCCCAACTTTTAAAAAATTAATAAACCTTGGGGCTGAAGAGAGAATACAACAGTTAAGGGGCTTGCCTTGCATGTGGCTAACGTGGGTTCAATTCGTGACATCCGTATGGTCCCCAGAGCACCTCTGTAATTTGAGTGCGGGGCCAAGAGTGACCCCTGAGCATCATCAGGTGTGACCCAAAAACTAAAATAAAAGTTTTATAATCCAGGAGCACGGATGTGGTGGCAAGGCCAGATACCCCTTTTCTCTAGGGGCGCGCTTAAACCGAGTGCACCTTCCCTCTCATTTAGGTGTCAGAACGTCTCATCTTTGCCCAGCGGCTTTGAAGTTCGAGAAGTGAAGATCGTGCAGTCCAGTGAGCTGTTTGCGCAGAGCCGCCGCGCGGTGCAGGCCAGGAGGGCCGATGGTGCGGGTCGGCTGGTTCCCTGTGGGGCTGGTAAGGGACCCAGATCCACTTGCTTGGGACGGTTTTGTCTGGAAACTTCAGTGGCCTGAGAGGGCCTGGAGAGACCCACAATGGGTCAAGGTTGTGCTCTGGGTGACCCTGAGCAAGTCTCTAAAACAAACAAAAATTCCTGGGGCTTGGAGCGATAGCACAGCGGGTAGGGCGTTTGCCTTGCACGCGGCTGACATGGGTTCAATCCCCAGCATCCCATATGGTTCCCCGAGCACTGCCAGGAGTGATTCCTGAGTGCAGAGCCAGGAGTAACCCTTGAACATTGTCGGATGTGACCCAAAAAGCAAAAAAAAAAAAAAAAAAAAAGATGAAAATGAAAAAGGCGCCTTTGGCATTTTCAGAACATGAAGCCGCTTTTCAGAACGTGGTACCTTCCCTCTTGTAGCCATCAGCTGGAGTGCAGTTCCCGATCAGCCCCTGGACGTCACTGCCAACGGCTTTCCCCAGGGGACAACGAAGAAAGGGATGAGAAACCTTCAGGCCAGGTACAGCTTTTGGGCCAGGAGACAGTGGCTGGCCCCTCACTCCTGTAATTCCAGAATATTCTGGCTGTTACCCGTTGTTCCCCAAATAACACCCCTGTACTCCCCACCCCTCCCACTCTCCTCATCCCTGGATGTATCTGCCCTGAACATCAAGTCACTGAGCCATCCAGTGAGCGACCCTGTGTGTCCAGCTGCTTTGACATGACTGGTGTTTTGCAGACTCACCCACCGGGGAGCCTGTGTCCTTCCTTTATGGGATTGATCTGGCCTCTTAGCACCTCTGGTTCATCCATTCATCCCTAATTAGATGTTTATCAATGGGACTTTTGGGGACTTTGGGGGAGTTTCTCTCTTGGCCATCGTGAGTTAATGCTGCCATGAGCGTTTATATACCAGATTCTGGGGAACCGTCTGTTTTCGGATCTCTGGGTATGCAGAGAGCGGAATCCTGACGCTAGTCTGTGTTTAGCGTTTTGAGGAACTCCTGCGTGGTTCTCGGTGTGACACACCTCAGTGTGGCCCCAAGTGCCATCTCTGACGACACCAACAGAAGCTGCCGCAGGGGCCTTGGCCGACTCCCGACTACGGTCTGATAGGCGCAGGGGACTGTCACCCACACCAGTCCTTACCCCATTTCAGCATGTCACCGTGGTGGTTTCTCTGCTGATGACACCGCCAATTTGAGCCTTGGAAAATCAAGTTTTCCTTTTTTTTTTTTTTTTTTTTTGCCAAGTGGGGACTCTGGAACATTCCAAAGGGAACACCACGTGATGCTTCATGTCTTTCTGTGATAGAGCCGGGTCCACAGCAAATACCGACCCTGTCTTTTTCCCAACAGATCCCAAATCTGCAAAGTAGAGCTCTTTCAGGCATTCCGGAAGCTACTCGCCAGCATCCCTGAGGACCAGTGGCCGGACTCGCTCAGGTGACGCCGCTGGCCTGGCTTTTGCCCACTGTGGCTGAGTTTGGCAGGAGGCCTGTCCGGGAGCCATATTAACTGGCCTGTGCTCTGCCCTCCACAACCCCCTGGGTAGCGCTCAGCATGATGCAGGGGGCGGGGCTGGTGGCTGGGGGTATGGAGCGTCAGGAGACAGGGGGTGGTCTGTATAGAACAGGCAGGTGGGGTGGTCCGTGTAGGGTATAAAGTACAGGCAGGTGTGGCTGGTCTGTATAATACAGGCAGGTGGGGTGGTCTGTCTAGGGTATAAGGTGCAGGCAGGTGGGGTGGTCTGTGTAGGTACAGGCAGGTGAGGGTCTGGCCCCCAAACTGCCACTCACTTCAGATCTCAGCTACAAGCCAGCCACTGTCCCCAACCAACCCCACTGCCACTTGCCCGGATGAGGCCATTCAGTGAACGTTCCGAGTTAGAGAAGCACTTTATTTGCCTCTTGTAAAGGTTGCAAGTCTGCCCGGCCTGTCTGAGGAACTAGGGTTGCGACTCCGAGGGAGGGACAGTTCTTTGAGGTTTCCAGACACAGAATGGGGAAGGGAATTGATTCTTTTTGGTTTGGGGGGGTGGAGTTACACCCCCGAGTGCTCGGGCGCCGTCCTGCTTCTGCTGTGCCTGTTACCCTATGCCACAGCAGTCTGGGTTTGGGTTTGAGTTTTAGGGCCACACGGAGCCACGCTTTGCGCTTAGGGCTTACTCCTGGCTCTGCTCAGGGATCACTCCTGGAGGTGCTTGGTGGGACCAAATGGGATACCAGGGATCAGACTTGGGTTGGCGGCCTGCAAGGCAAGTTCCCTACCCACAATAGTATTATTCTGGCCCCAGGAGGGTTTTTTTTTTTAACCATAGCCTTAAAAAAAAATAACTTTTTTGATTACTTTTGTATTGGGGTCATACCTGGCTGAGCTCAGGGGGTGCTGGCATCAAGCTGGGACCTCCTGCAGGCAAATCATCTGCTCCTGCCTTTTGAACCATCTCCAGCTCGACAGAAGCTGTTTTTAGGAAATTGGGGCTCAGGTGAAATAACATCACTGTCTGCTAGACTGAGCCGCGTTGCTGAAGTGACCTGGGTCTCTCCTCAGGCCTTGGTGAAAAACCAAAGAATCAGAGCAGAATCAGGGTAAAGCGGTTGGGAAGAAAGGCAGTAAGGCTCGATCTTCTCCGCTTGCCAACTCTGAGGGAGCAAGGGCAGGGCCCAGTCAGCGCTGAGGCCTGAGAAGTCGGCCTCAACTTTGATCGCTGGCTGAAGGCGAGACTCGCATCAGAGATTGTTTTGGGGGCCTGAGTGTCACAGGCACTGCCCAGCGCTGTCGCAGCAGCTGAAGGGACCCAGGAGAATGGGAAGTGCCTGGGTTTGTTTGGAGAAATGCAGCCGAGAGGTTTCTAACAGCCTGATCCTCTGGTACATGGGCCGGAGAGATAGGACAGCAGCGTCAGGGCTTGCCTCGCATGCGGCCCACCCAGGTTTGATTCCCGGCATCACATACGAGTCCCCCTGCCCCACCCCAGGAACAGTCCCTGGGCACAGAGTCAGGAGTAAGGGGATGAAGCGATCGTATAGCGGGTAGGGCATTTGCTATGGCTGCCCAGGTTCAATTCCCGGCATCCCATATAGCCCTCCAAGTACCACCAGGAGTAATTCCTGAGTACAGAGTCTCCTGAGCATCTCTGAATGTGACCCAAAAAGCAAAAAACAAAAAACAAAGCCAGGAGTAAGCCCTGAACACTGCCAGGTCTGGCCTAAACCCAAAAGAGAAAAGGCAAATACAGAGCCTCTGGTGGCAATGGTCAGCACTGAGAAAAATCTAAGCCAGAGAGTAGGACACTTGGGGTCAGAGAGAGCTCAAAGGAGCCCGCTGCCCGGGGCCAGACCCTGGCACCACTGGCTTGCCCTCCCCCCACCCCGTTCCCCAGGACATTTTACCTATGATCACATGCTCACAGGAGCACATGCTCCATGTGGATCACAGGGACATAGTCTGAATCTCACACACCGTGGTGCCAGCAACAGCTGCCCCTTGAGTGACTCCCATGAGAGGACACGGAGCGTGCCACAGCCCTCCTGTTCCTGAGTCTTCTAATATTTGCACCCTTCTGATGGCCCCAGCACCCCTGGGGCCACAGAGGGCAGCGGGCCCAAGAGCCTCTGCTTACTGGTGTGTGTGCATTAGGGCGCAGACGCTGGAGACATACCAGGACTACAAGGATGCCGCCTCTGCGTACCAGGATGCCTGGAGCGCACTCCGGAAGCAGGCCTTCGCCTCCTGGCTCAGAAGCCCAGCCGAGTACCAGCAGTTCCGATGAGATGGGAAGCATGCGGGCCTCCATGTCTGGGAGCCACTTCCTCCCCGGGAAGAGTCCCGGCCACGTTTCAGCTGATTCAGAAGATGGGGACAGGTTGGTGATTTCTCGGAGCTACGCATCTCTCCCAAGATGGAAGAAAATTGCATCACGGAACAACCTGCACTGGATGGAAACGCTCTCAGCTAATGTGGCATCTCGCTCATGCCCAGAACCTGCCCTCGCTTGGGGTTGATGCTTCCCGGAAACGTGAGAGCAGAAGGCGCCATGCTGGGACCTGGGCCGGGCTCTGTCAGTGCCCTGTGGGCATCGGGGAGGTCGGGCTCTGCACACACACTGGAGCTCTGCCTGACAAAGGGCATCTCTGCCCTGTCCAGCCGTCTTCCGTTGGAGGGCCACCCCACCTGCCTGAGCTAGCCGGGAAGTGTCTCAGACACTGCCCGCCAAGATCCACTCTCCTGTTGAACCCATGGCCGCCACGTGCTCTCAGCCCTCAGAGTGGAGCCTCCCTCCGCCTCGACCTGCTGTCGTGGCGAAAGGTTCCTGCTGCTGTTCGGTGGGTGCCCCGCGTCTTCCCACCGACGTTTCCTTCCTGAAAGACCAAGAGACATGCCTCCCGTGAGCAACCGACCCAGCCGCCAGGCCTATGGCATTGGGGTCCAGCCCTTCTGTTTGGCTCTCAAGCTCTTCCCCTCCAACTGCTGACTGAAAATGGAAACTGCCCCGAGTACGGGGACCAACTGTGTTTCTTGGGCGTATCTGTTTTTAAGTATTTTAAACAGTTTTATTGACAATAAAGTCACATATCATGAAATTTAGGGGTTTTTGGAATTCCCGCAAAGCAGCCGTCTCCTTAATCAACTTTAGGAGTTCCTTGTGAGGAAACTGCACAGTGCGCTCTCGGACCCTGTACAATGCCTACTAGCTGTCACTTCTCATTTTGCCTCCCCCCCCCCCCCCGCCCTCCGCCAAAGTGATAAGCTACTTTCTGTCTCACAGATCCATCTGTTCCAAACCTTCCATAGGAATGGAATCCTCGAGAATTTGGTGTTTTGTGGCTGACTTCTTTCCTTTAATGTCTTCAAGAGTCAGGCAGTGTGGCATGGCCCGCACTTGCAGTTCCACGGCGGTTTTAGGACTTGTTTGCCCCAGGCATCACTGACGGACGTTGAGGTCAGCGGTTGTCCCTGTCTTTTCAGCTCTTGGGAACAAACTACTTTGAACATTTGTGCACAAGTCTGAGTGAGAACACAAGCCCTCTTTCCTCCATAAATTGCAGAATTAAGACTCGTTCCTCCTAACCAGCTCCTGGTCTCTTGTTTTGTTTCACAGTAGCAGGACCACACCCCTAGCCTCGCATGTGCAAAGCATGGGCCACATCCCGAGCCCCTAACAGCCCTGATTTTTTTTTTGTTTTCAAAATAAATCCTTTGAGGGGCCAGAGCGATAGTGCAATGAGTAGGACATTTGCCTTGCACGTGGCCAGTCTGAGTTCAATCCCATATGTTCCCTGAGCACCGCCAGGAGTGATTCCTGAGCATCTCTGGGTAAGGCCCAGAACACTTCTCCAAAAAACAGAAAGTGAAAGAAATCTGTCTGTTTTGCCAGGTACTCGCTCAGCATAGAAACCCAGAAACCACTAACGGGGTCACAGGGGCAAAGAGGAAGGTTGGGCCCAGCAGTGGAAGGAAACTTCTCACTGGATACTCTTTAGATTTTATTATATTAGAATCTTTAAGACACGTTAATACAGTGCCTGTTTAAAAATTTTCTTAGAAATGAAAAAAAAAAGTAATGGAGAAATATTTTCCTATTTCAACTATAGAAATAGGGCTGGGGAGAGCATGGTGGGCCGAGAACCAGCTTTGCATGCTGCAGACCTGAGTTCCAGTCCCAGTACCACTTGGGGGGCCCACCACGCACTGCCATGAGTGACCTCTGAGCATGGAGCCAGGAGTAGCCCTGACACACACATACAGAACTAGAGGAGCCCCAGGAAATACCCCAGCGACACTGCAGGGACGAGAGCATGTCTGACCTCAGGGGCCACCGCCGGCCTTACACTGCCCCAGACTCACAGCCACGTGTCCACTCCTTCATCTTCACAAGTGACTGTTCCGAGACTGCGTGATTTCCCTTTTTCTGAAAGGCCGACTTCAGTCGTTTGGTGTTTGTTCCGTGCGCGGTTTCTGGGGTGACGTGCCTGGTGAGCCGTGGGGTGCCAAGCGTGAGCTCAGCGTCTGGGGCAGCGAGGCCGCCTGCTTCTGCGGGAGGGGACGCTGCCAGCTGGGCGCATCCTGCTGCGGCGTGGCCGTGGCGGGGGCAGGAGGGGGGGTTTGGACAGGGGACGTGGCCTCCACCTGGACCTGGCAGCAGCTTCTGGCTCTGAGACAATGTTCCGCGCCGGCCCTGCCAAAGTTCTCCGGCTCCCCGGCCGAGAGCAGACGCTGCGGGCGGTATTTATTACCTCGAGCCGCTGGCCGCTGTGCATGGTGGGGGCGACACGGGGCTGTTTAAAGGCGTCGCGAGACAACAGGAGGGAACCTGCTAGCAAGTAGAGGTTCAGTGTGCACTTCACGGGCCCCTGCAGTTCTCTTTGGAGGAGGGAGAGTGGGGTTGGGGGGGGGGTGGGGGAGTAGGACTGGGAGGCCACACCCCAGCAGTGCTCAGGGGCTCTTCCTGGCTACTCAGGAGTGACCCCGGGGGGTGCTCAGGGGACCAGATGTGGTGCTGGGTGGTCACCTGCAAGGCCAGTGGCCTCCCGTCTGTGCTGCCTCTCCAGGCAGTTCTGTCCAGGGAGACCAGGGGCCATCCTGGGGGAGAGCAAGCCGCAGACGGTACCGGTCAGGTGTGTTTTGGAGAGAACGGGCTGGTACCTGGGGTAAAGATGAGGAAGAAAGGCTGGGCGGACAGGGTCGCGGGGGCCTTGCAGGTGACGCGATGTTGTGGTCTGTTCCACAGTGCCTGCGGCCCACCCTGGGTCTCCGGCAGGAAGAGCCTATGCTCTGGCCGCTGAGAAATGTTTTGTTCTTACACGGGTAGATATTTATTAAGCTCTACCCTTCAGGTCTATGCATTTTGTTTGTCATTACCCCTCAGTTGTTTTTTTTTTCTTTTTGGGTCACACCCAGCAATGCACAGGGGTTGCTCCTGGCTCTGCACTCAGGAATTACCCCTGGCAGTGCTCGGGACCATATGGGATGCTGGGAATCGAACCCGGGTCGGCCGCGTGCAAGGCAAACGCCCTACCCGCTGTGCTATCACTCCAGCTGCACCCCTCAGTTTTAAAAATGTTTTTAAAAATCACCATGTCCCGGTGGAGCAATACTCCTGAGCACTGACAGGAGTAATTCCTGAGTGCAGAGCCAGGAGTAACCCCAGGTGTGACCCCCCCCCAAAAAAAAACACCATATCCTTGGGGGCCAGAGAGATGGTATGGAAGATAGGCCACTTACCTTGCAAGTGGCTGCCCTGGGTTTGATCCCTGGCAAACCAAAAGTTCCCTGAGCACTGCCAGGAATGAGCTCTGAGCACTGCTGAGTGTAGTCCCCCCGGCCCCCCGCAAAAAAAAAAAAAAATTGTTTTAATTTTTAATCACATGTGCTTAGTAATTACTTGGTAGAGTTGAATCGGCTCTGGTCTAGACATTTAAGTGATTATGTTCTAGTACCAACTCGGCCATTTCCTAGTAAATGTGGGGGAAATTCCCTCTGCTTTCCAACCTGTCGCCTGGGCCACAAAACGTGGTTCCAATTAGGAGGCTCCGTGTAAGTTTTCGATCTCCAGGTAGGATTTCTCATAATTCTTAATTGGGCACAGAAGGCACAGAGAGACTTTCTCCAGGAAACCAGGCTTTGGGGGTGGGTAGGCGGTGGCTGGCCCCCTGGGCTCTGAACAGGGGGGCCAGGCTTCTTGTCCCTCATTCCGATGAGCCAGCGAGGTTAGAAACCAGCTTTGGGGGTGAATACGCAGGTTCTGCACCCTCCCGGCCTGGGGACGTGGCCTGATGGGAGAAGCAGAGGCAAGAGTCCAGGGGCCCGCCTGCTGGGTTCCAGACATCGTCCCCGAGCCCGGGCTGGGCTCCAGGCAGAGAGAACTGCACAATGGAAACTGTGATGGCTGTTAGCTCAGCAGCCAGGAGAGTGAAAAGCGCCTCGAATCCTGTGCCAGGGGAGCCGGGTGGTGGGCCCCTGGCCCCTGACCACAGCGCCCCTGCTCCCCTATCTTGCCACAGTCCACAGCAAGGCCTGCCCGCACCACCTCTCCGGGACACCCCGGGAATAGCACCGTGGCAGCCCCAGTTTGCCCCGCCAGAGGCTCCCTCAGCCGTGCTCTGCCCGCTCGCTCCCCGCCCCACCCAGCCTGCCGTGGAAAGCAGGAGACTGAGCTCCTTCCTCCCTTCTTAGAGCTCACATCTGCCGTGTTCCCTGCCAGGCCCCCGCGCCCAGTGCTCGCGCATCAGCTGGAGGCCAGGGTTGCAGTGCTCGCCTCGTTTCCCAGAACTCACACTTGGTCGTTGTGGCACTGGGCTGTGCTGCCCGGGACCCAGCAGGCAGTGCCACCAGGAGGGGCTTGGGCCGTGGAACACTCCAGCTCTGGCCTGCAGGAGGGAAGCCCTAACACGGAGCCATCTCGGGCCGCCTGGCTCCTCGTTCTCACCAAGCTAAGGTGCTCCGGCTCTGCTCAGAGGCTCTTGGCTCTCAGGGGACTGGCCTGCCCCTGCTGTGCCCCGGAGCATGGCCAGGCCTTGGTGCACAGCCTGGTACAGGAGAGGAGCTGGCCCGGGACCCCCTGACTGCTCGGGAGCTGGTCCGACGACTCAGGGGGCGCTCATGTCTTTTCAAATGAATGCTGCTGTTCTTTGGATGCGTGCTGGGCAGTACGTGAGCTCCGGCAGGATCTGAATAAGTCTCCAGACTGTCTTCCCTGAGGCTGCCCCAGCGACACGCCCTCCATGTTCCCAGCAGCTCCACGCCAACGCTGCCTGTTTTGGGGTCTGTTCGATGCTGCTCTCTCGGTCTGAGATGCCCTCACTATCGCCCTGCTTTGCATTTTTCTGTTAAGTAGTTATGATGAAGACCTTTTGATATTGCTTCTGCTTCATCTTGTGTGTGTGTGTGTGTGTGTGTGTGTGTGTGTGTGTGTGTGTGCTTTTTGGGTGACACCTGGCAATGCACAGGGGTTACTCCTGGCTCTGCACTCAGGAATTACTCCTGGTGGTGCTCCGGGAACCATTATGGGATGCTGGGAATCGAACCCAGGTCAGCCGCGTGCAAGGCAAATGCTCCAGCCCCGCTTCTGCTTCATCCTCTGTGCTCTTTGGAGGAGTGTGTGTCCATCCCTCTGTCCAACACACAGAAGTATGTGTTCAATCCCGGGCACCGCATATGATCCCCTGAGTTTGCCAGGAGTGATCCCTGAGCACAGAGCTCCAGCCAAGAAACTACATTTTAAAAGCCAGATTGCCAATCTATTTTTATTGCTATTACAAATAAAGCTTTTTTTTTCTTCAATTATCTTTACAGGTAATAGCTATTTTCTCCTCTGTTCCAGTAATACTTTCTGTTCCAGCACTTACTACATTGCTTTGTTATTATTTGATTATGTGCTGACTTGTTTATCACATACCGTAAGCTCCCAGAGGAAGGACTAATGCTTTATTCAGACGATTTGTGCCCCAGTCTCCAGCAGTGTGAAGCCACTGCTAATAGGGTGGTTTGACGACGGTCTCTCTTCTTATATCTCAAGTTTGGGGGTTGGAAGATAGAAGAGCGGGTAAGCCGACTCCAGTTGCTCAAAATCGCACATGGTCCCGCAAACACTGCCCGGCGTGGCTCCCAGATATATAAATAAATCTCAAATTTGGTGTCTTCTGCCACTCGGCAGCAGTGTGGTTGTGGGACTTACATTGTATTTTTTCTTCTTCTTGGGTCACACCCGGCAATGCACAGGGTTTACTCCTGGCTCATGCACTCAGGAATTACTCCTGGCAGTGCGTGGGGGACCATATGGGATGCTGGGAATCGAACCCGGGTTGGCCACGTGCAAGGCAAATGCCTTTCCCGCTGTGCTATTGCTCCAGCCCCTACATTGTCTTAAAAGGTGTTATCTTTTTGAGATTATTTGTAGCTTTGGGGGGATTTTTTCTCAAGGGGTCACACCGAGCTATGCTAAGGTGTTACTCCTGGTGGTGCTCTGGAGACCAGGTGGGATGCTGGGGATCAAATCTGGGTTGCCACATGCAAGGCAAATGTCCTACCCACTGCACTATTGCTCTGGTCCCTAGATTAACTGTGATATGTAAATTAGCTAGGATCCAGGTTTTGAGGGGTATTATTTGGTTTGTTGGTTGGTTTTCGGTTATTGGACCACACCCAATGGTACTCAGGGCTTACTCCTGGCTCTGTGCTCAGGGATCACTCCTAGTGGCCAGTCGTGCCAGGGATCAAACTCAGATCTCCTCGTGCAAGGCAAGCATCCTACAGCTCTGGCCCCTGTTTAGCGTTTTTATAACACTTCTCTTTTGTTTTGGTTTTTTGGGCCACCACCAGCTATGCTCAGGGCTTAGTCTGGTTCTGTGCTCAGGGGTCACTCCTGGTGGGCTGAGGGGACTATATGGGCTGCTGGGATTGAACTTGAGTCAGCCGCATGCAAGGCTCTGAGATCACTTAACCTTCTTCCCTCTACTTCTCTAGTGCATCTGTGGGCATGTGGCTGTGAAGCAAACAGGAGTGTCTTTGAAGAGCTAACCGACTTCATGTGTATATGCCCTGTTCTGTTCTCCTGGCTGACAAGGGATTCACCAGCCATTGCCATCAGTCTGGGCCCCAGATAGGACGGAAACTGTCTGATGATTCCAGAGAGGCCAGCGTCCTCCCAGAGACATCCAGCTGTGTGCTGTGAAATGCTCTTCTCTCACTGAACTTGCTAAGGCTGGTGGAGCTTTCTGTATTTTCTCATAGCTCTAGGAAAACTACCTTGGGGGCCTGGAGAGAGTACAGCAGGTCGGGGCACTTGGCTTGCCTGCAGCTGACCGAAGTTCGACCCCAAGCACCTTATATGGTCCCCTGAGTCTTCCAGGAGTGACCGCTGAGCACAAAGCCAGAAAGGAATAAATCCTGACCACCACAGGATGTGACTGGAAAACGAGGAAGAAAAAGAAAGCTGCTTCAGAAGGCAGCCAGCACAGGGAGAGATGAGGGGACAGTGGGGAGAGCCACGCCAGGCCGGGGGGTGCCCGCCGTGGCCAGCACGGTGCTGCGTGCACAGGCGTGGTACCCGCCCTGCATCTCACTCATCCGGAAGTCAGTGTAAACTCGCTTCCAGTTGGAAACTGACACAGATTAGTGGGGCTTCCTCAAAGGCGTTTGCCTCCTGGGTGCCCCACGTAAGGGTCTCAGGAGGGTGTGACAGGCCCCTGCACACATGGACACTGGCATCCCCCCAGCACAGACACTGCACTGAGGGTCTGATCGTCACAGCGCGGAAGCGCGCCCAGAGCTGCGCAAGGTGGGCTTTGCCACCACTGGGCCTGGAGCTGTCTCAGCTGGAAGGGGACCGCGACAGAGGGGAGCTCTGGCTCTTGCGAGGCCTTCCTGTTCTGACCGGAGCCTTTTCCCTCTGGAAGCGGCTCCTTTGCCGAGGGGCTCCCCCTTCTCTAGGCGGTGCTTCATCTTCTGCATCTCCAAAGAGCTCGGTATTTGGTCCCAACGGGGTCTGGCCTTCTGCTTCTGGGCTAGTGACTAGGAGACTTGTTTTTAACTTAAAGGCCCATGATTTACAATTCTTAATCTCTCCCTCGCTCTCTCTCCCCCCTCCCCCCAACACACACACACACACACACACACACACACACATATGCTAGCAACAAAACAAAGAGGTGGTCTTGAGTCAGGTTGGGGTGGGGGATGGGGGAATCAAAAAGATGCTGCCAACAATAACAAAAAGTCAACTTTTCATCACAGTTAGGAAGCTAACACAGGATGGGATGATTAATTTGGTGACAAAAAAGCTCAAGGTCTTGGTTGCTTCCCAGTAGAGTTTGACAGTGATTTAACTACTTGTTCCCTGGTGGCTGGGTTATCCCTTCTTTATGATGTCACATCTGCATGGGGCTCTGGCCTCCAACACAGAAAGTAAAAAGTTTTTAGGTTGTTTTTAGGCCACACTCAGTGATGCTCAGGAATCTCTCCTGGTGGTGCTCAGGGGACATAGGGAATGTCAAGCTCAAACCTGGGTCAGCCATGAGCAAGGCAAGCATCCTACCTAGCATTTCTCCAGCTCGTTGATTTAGGAAATTAAACATTTTCTCTTAGAGGCATTGTCCTGGCAAGCCTAGACATATATGTGACTTTGTCTATTTTTGTTTGGGGAGGGCCACACCCTGCAGTGCTCAAGTTTACTCCTGTTTCTGCACTCAGGGGTCGTTCCAGGAGGAGCTGAGGGACTATCTGTGGAGCCCAGGGTTGAACCCATGTCAGCTGCATGCACGGCAAGCACCCTACTTGCTGTTCTGTCACTCTGACCCCCATGATTTATGAGAAATCATGGAACTAGTGGGTCTGGAAAATTTTTCTTTTGTTTTACAAAGGGATTGAAGAGCACCTCCCTGTATGGAGGTGGTTTATCACGACACACCGTGTAACAGTGAAAGACTGCAAATAATACAGGTACCTCTGACAGGGAACTAGGTAAGTGATAAAGAGAGAGCGACAGTGTAATACTGCTTGACAGAAAAATAGATGAAGACTCTCAGAACCTCTGGAAAGGGCACCAAGACAGCCTGTATGGTCCCGAGAGATGGCAATGTATGTATCTGTTTTCTTCTGTATGTATGTATGTGTTTCCTTCTGTATAAGAAAAAGTATAATAGCCCGGAGTAGCTTCTTGGTGGAAGCCTTGCCGTGTATATGGAAACCTTGGGTTCCATCCCCAGCACAAGAAAAACAAAAATAAGGGCACGTGTTCATATCTAATTGTACTTCCAAAGAGAAACTGAAGCAGTGAAAGTTATTTTTCCCACCAGGCACAGGGTGAGGGGAGCAAGAAGGCCATGGTGAGATCAGAATTTCTCAGTGTCTCCCTTATTTTGGTCCTGGTACCGGATGTTGTGGATCTACTAACCACTTTAAAAATCCCTCCTGATAGAAACTCTTTTCCCAGTCCGCAAACCCCCCACTCCCAACCCCTTCTGGCATCAGCAGATGTAGGACCTGCTTCTGGCACCCACCCAAACAAGGGCGAATAACGGACACAGTGACACTGTGATGCCTTTATAAGAGGAAATTTTATTGTTAATTATTTAATAGTTTCAGAAGAGGAACATATTATTTCAGTCCAACATGATTGGCAGTTGGCAAAATCTAGTGAAGCAAGTATTCTGATTGCGAAGGATTTAATTTGGATGCTTTTAATACTTAGCCACCTAACACTTCAAACATAATCCAGAGCTAGTGTCAGTGTCTCTCCCTTTAACTTGAACAACCCACCTATCTCACTTCGAATGGAAACATCTTCATGGCCCCCAGAGGAACGTGTTCCCGGCAGAGGGTAGCCATGAGGACAGCCTGAAAAGAAAACTCGAAATAAAACTGTGTGATAATTTACTACTCTAAGGAAACAAAACCTTCCGATAATATATTAAAGAACTAAATCCAGTTACAAACGCACTACCATGTCTGTCTGGGAGGTCCTGGCGGGAACGGAAAGCGGCCGGCTATGTACAAGGGACACGAGCGGGGGGCGCGGCCCAACACGGCCCTCAGAAGCCGAAGGTGTTCTCTCCGCTGTAGGCCACATACAAGAATCCGTCCTCGTCTTTCTCCTTCTCGTACAGCTGTCCCATCGTTAGGCTGGAGGGAGAAACACAAACACCTGAGTTGGGGGCTCGCGGACCCAGCCCGCCTTTCCAGGCAGCGGGCGGGGAAGGGCAGTCGGCTGCCCGCGATCTCTTGCTGTGCGGCAGCGAAGGAACTGCAGCCGGATGGGAGTGAGACGGAGCCATGCTCCATTCTTCTGCCAAGGACTCAGCACTGGCCTCCCCTTAGCCTTCCAGCCCAGGCCTCTGCCGGGGCCGCCCTCTCCCGGAGTGCGCTCAGCCTCCTGCTTCTGGAACGTCTCCTGGTACCCTGCACAACCAGGGTGAGGAGGAAACAAGCTCCACTGTTGTCTCTGTGTGAGCGGAGGGCCCAGGAAGGAGAACCCAGGCGCGCTCCTCCTTCAGGCGGTCGCAGCCCAGGGAGTGTCTGGGCTCATCTGGGGGAAGCCGCCCCGCAGGACGCTGTGGGGCTCGGGAGGGGACGTGTTTCCTCACATGAACACAGAAAGCTCTGGCTCTGCGTGGGGGATCCAGAGAGGCCCAGCCCCACCCTCCTAGGAACCTTCCAGAAATAGCTGCTGTCAAACTAAACGTGTGGGTGGGAGAGCACTGCCACACCGACTGGCAGGCTCTGCCGCGAGACCGAGTTGAACCAGCTCCAGGGGAGCCTAGTAACACCCAGGAATAGGGTGTGCGCGGCCACGCAGGCCGTCAGGAACCGGATGTGCACGGGCCACGCGGGCTGTCGGGGAACCAGGTGTGTGTGCGGGCCAGGTGGCCTTCGAGAAACCGGAGACAAACCAGCTGTAGGGAGTGCGGCTACGGCAGCAAGACTGCGACTTGGAAGCCCCCGTAAGACTGTGTCAGACTGCGGGGGGGCCAACAGGGGCCAGGTCACGGCGGAGACCCCAAGTGCTGCTCTGGCCCACCCGCTGTGCGGCCTCCCGGGAACAGGAGCGCGGCCAGGGCCCTAAAGGGGTGTGTGCTCTGCTCGTCTGCGCGCTGTGAAGCAACAACCTGCGGCGGAGGACACTGGCCTTAAGACGCCCGCGGCCAGCACGGGGCAGGGCAGGCCGCTCCCGGAGCACTGCCCCCAGAGGGCCATGGCTCAGCACTCAGATGCCGCTTAACTGAGCTGGGATGCGCTGAGGGTAAAACATACACAAGAGTCAAAGAAAGAGAGTATTTGAAGAGTGAAATACCTCGACTTGATTACACACGGACACTTCACACATACCGGGTGAGTACAATCTAGTACAATCAACCTGACCTCTTTCTCTTTTGTTCACCATGAGGCGACAAGGAAATGTCAGATCACTCTTGCAGCACAGATGCCATTGGGTGGCAGTGAGCAGAGAGGGGACCCCGGGCTCCAGAGAGCCTGCAGAACTGGGACACCACTCCAGCCGGCCCTCCTCCCTCCGAGTAAGGCCGTCTCACGTCCGACCCAGACTCAAGTCCCTTGGTTTTGTGTCACACCCAGTGCTGCTCGGGACAGAAACCTGGGCTCCTACGTACAGTCCCCCTGCCCCCCTCAGCCTGTGTTACCACGGCTAAGACTGACAGTGGGGGACAGCTCAGAGCACGCGCTTCTCATGGACAAGGCCCCGGCTTTGACCCCTGGCACCAAAAAAAAGCTGATTCCAAGAGGAGCGGGCTGAGACATGGTCCCCAGACAGGAGGTTCTGGTCTTTTTGGAGGAGACCCACTTGCCAGGGCCTCTCTCCACCCCTACGGATACACAGACCAAATGTCTACACTCAGGCTTCCGTCGTCTAATTTAAGACCCCAACCATGACAGCCAGCTGGGCTCGGTGCTGCTGTAGGTGACTCAGGAACTGACCGTCCTGTGAGACGGGCACCATCCTCTGACACTCACACACAGGAAGCGGCCACACCCGGGCAAGGTCATCCACGCGAACTCACTCGGCCACTTTGCTATGGGTCCCCAGGCAGCCTGCACGGCGCGGCTGCTGTGACTGGCGGTGAGGGTGGGCCAGCCCGAGGCGTGACCTTCCTCACAGGTTCCTCGGGAGAGTGGCAGTGCCAGCCGCTCCCCTCCAAGTGGCCAGGTCCTGTCACCGACAGCTGAGTAACGGTCTCGCTGGCGGCCGCGCCGTGTCCTTACACCCAGGGGATCCTTTTGAAAAGGAACTTGGAAACAGATACTGCTCACTGCTGGGAGCTACAAGCACCTCAGCAGCCTGCGAGAGAACCCTGATTTGGAGGCATCCCTGGGTGCTATGAGAGAGACAGAGAGAAGGGGGGAGGAAATGGGGGAGAGAGAGGGAGGAAGAGACAGAGGGAAGGAGGAAGAGAGACATGGAATAACCTGGCCTGGAGTCAGAGCTGGCCACAGACCGTTTCGACATTTCTTGAAAGTTGCATGAGGAGGACAGTCAGGCGACGTGCAGGGAGGCAGGCGCGGCCAGTCATAGGCGGTGAGCGCAGAAGGCCCGTGTCCCTTAGGCCCGGCTCCTCAGCCACTGAGGAGAGCGCCAGTGCCGAGCCATCTGAGTCACGGCAGGGGTCGCAGACGGCCCCCTGATGTCCCACAGGGGACCTGCGCTCAGGCTGCTGCCCAGACCCAGGTGCCACTGCGCCCCACGCTTGTGGCGTGGTACAGAAGGAAACGGAGGATGCCAAAGGCTTGGTTGCGGGCCAGGAGCTGTTCACGCTGGGCCAGCTGTCCCTTGGGGCCAGCCCACCGAGGATGCAGCGGGGTCCCGGCGCACCAGGGGAAATGAACCGCAACTACCCCCAAAATGCATGGGCATGGTTTTCTGTCGTTTCTGTTGTTCCGGTGGTGCTGGGGGCCACTCCCTGCTTGAAGCTTGGGGATTGTTCCTAGCAGTGCTCGGGGGACCATGTCATCCTGGGGACCGGACCAGGTCGCCTACATGCAAAGCATGTGCTCTCAGCTCGCTGAAGCACCTCTCCAGGCCCGCCCCCCAAACTCTCAGTTCCCCATTCAGATCCAGACAAAACCACATCTCCAGCGAAAAAAAAACCGCCAATGGGAAAGATGCCTCTGAGAGGAGCTGGAGCTAGGAGCTGCCATGCGCCTAGGGGAAGCAACAGTCAGAGGGCACAAGGCGACCAGCGTGGACAGCTCCTGGCCCGCAACCAAGACTGACCGCACATGCCCCGCCCCCTCTGCCCAGAGCCCGCGTGCTTTCCCGACAAGGGTCACCGCTGCACAGATGGGGGACGGTCTGGAGGCCACGGCCAGTGCTGTAGCTCCCGAAAGTCACACCTCAAAGTCACCAGACCCTGAAGGCCTCCGGGAATCTAAAGCCATCGCTGGATGTTCCCTTATCAAACTTCTTTCTGCTACAATTAGACACTATTCTACAGCTGAACGAAATCTGGTCTTCAAGAGACCAGAAATGGTCCCATGGTTTCCTCATACCCAGAAATAAGAAAAAAGCATCTAAATAGCACAGGTGGTTCCCTACGTAACATTCCAAGTTAAGCATCTTGAGATATTTAAAAACGCACTCACGTTTCTATTTTAAACAGGATTATCAAGACTGTCTTCTAAACAAAAGACTGCCAAATCAGTGCTACCCCCAGGCCTGAGTCCCCTCTAAAGCCCCAGCAGAGAGGGCGCCCCCACTCTCAAGGCCTGTCAGCACCCAGGGAGTTAGTTTCCCTTTCGTTTTTGGCCAAATTGTTAATGCAGGTGCTGACAGAGAATTTAACTTCCCAATGCTAAATCAAAAAAGGCAATTAAGAGCTTCTGCCCACCTCCTCTTTAAGTTTCAGAAGTAAAACAGAAAGCTGCCTCTATTTCTAGAATTAATCTTTGACACCAATCATGACACTGGACTGACCAGATGATCACTCCACACCCTGGGCGGAAGTTCAGCCAGAGGCCAGGGTGAGTGACTGAGGGGCTGGTGCAGTTCCTGGTCTCAGCAGATCTGACTGCCACCACAGGGGGAGCCCTGCAGGCCGCGTCTGTCTCTGACCTCAGGTTTTGCTCCCCGAAGACTGGGGAGACCTCAGCCTTGGGAAGAGTGGGGCAGACCCCAGGCAGCTGGATTAGCATAGGCATAAACCCAAGGGACTCACTAGACTTGTTGCAGACCAAGTATGGCTTTTTTTTTCCCCATTTGAATTTTTCTGCCACACCTAGCACGGTGGTGCTGGAACTACTCCAGCCTCAGTGCTCAGGGTCACTCCAGGCAGTGCTCGGGGGAACTGTGCAGTGCAAATCCAGGCTTCCCTCATACAATGAAGGCGCCCAGCTGTGCAGCACTCAGGCTCCCAGAAATTTGATTTTAAGAATAACTCCCCCAGGGGCTGGAGCGATAGCATAGCAGGTAGGGCGTTTGCCTTGCATGCAGCCAACCCGGGTTCGAATCCCAGAATCCCATATGGCTCCCTGAACACCGACAGGAGTAATTCCTGAGTACAGAGCCAGGAGTAACCCCTGCGCATCTCCAGGTGTGACCCAAAAAGCAAAAAGAAAAAACTCCCCCAACCCACTCCCACCTCCCCTACTACAGGGTGCTGCATTAAGTACGGGGCCCAAAGACAGAACCTGGGCCAACTGCGGGCGGGCCGGGCCCAGGGGCCTGAGCCTCTTCTCCGAGCCCGGCCGCTCTGCACCTCACGCCTGACTCTGGAGAAGCAAATGGGCCCTGAAGAGAAAATGGCCCTGGAGCAGCGCTTGCTGCCCTGAGAATCACTTTTCATTTCCAGTTCTATTTATAGCTCAGGAATAATGGGAGGGGGGTTGCCAAAACCTGCAGCCGTTTTAGCCGCTGGATGAGCCGTTAGAGCGTCTCCAGAGTCGCCTTCCACTTCCTGCAGACACCAGCGGAGGAAGGAAGCCCGCACAACGCCACAGGTCCCGGTACCCACTTCCTCCCCCCGCACCTGGGCGGAAACGCAGTGACCACAGATGCCCAGGCCCACCTCCACTGCGGGCAGGGTCACTCTGGCAACACCACCACCACTGGGCCTACCGGTACCAGTAAACCTGGGGGCAGCCGAGGCAAAACCCAGCCTGAGCGAAGAACTTCCTCTCTTCTCCTCCTACCTCTCACCACTGAAAGAAGAAGTAGCGGAGCCTGGGACGGGAAACCGGGGCACAGAGCCTGAGCATCTACCGTTTGTAGCAAAATAACGCAGGCCTCTTCTGCTGCTTTCAAGGATTTTCAAAAACACAGCGTGACCACAGTGAGCGCGTCTCAAGCAGCAGCAGTGAGGGGCTGAGAATACCAAGTGAGGCCTGGCTTGTGGCTAACGGGGGTCTAATCCCCAGCACAGCATCTGGTCCCCGGAGCCCTGCCAGGAGTGATCCTGGAGTGATCCTCAGAGCAGGAGTAAGATCTGAGCACAGCTGGGTGTGGCCCAGAAAGCTAAAACAAAAGCAAACAGACAGGAGGCTTGGCACTGAGAAGTGCTGCTTTTGCGATGGAACCAATGAAACTTGGTCTGGGTGACACCAATGACAGGAACTCACACTCGGGGGAAGGGCCGCCTTTGGCACAAGGCCTAGAAGTCCTCAATCAATAACGGGAAAGGGCTGACTAGGAATTCAGATGGAGCCAGTCCATTCTCCTCTGCACAGGGGACTAAAGCTGGGCTGTCTCCCACACAGAAGGGAATTGCAAAGCCCCTCCGAGAAGCGGGACCCGAGTCATCCCAAAGATTGCTCCCAGGCAGCACAGCTAGACCACAATGCTGGCTGCTGGGCCCTTCAGACCCAGGGGTGACGAGGGAAGAGGCGAGCCTGCAAAGCAACTTCAGTGCCCATTACTGGATAAAACTGAGTCCGTTTTATCAGACTCAAGGATCAGGCAGCCCGGACGCTCACGGTGACCTGGGTGTGACTGAGATTGGAGAGAGCGGACGAACAGAGAGTACCTACAGGAGCTGCACAGAGAATGACAGGACCCAGCCCACCAGCAGGAAATCACTTTTTTGGCTTTAGTTGTACTGATGGCTTATGCTCAGTCTTCAGCTATTTTAAAGAATTCTCAGGAATCTAAGGTTAGATTTCTTCTGCATTTCATTATACTCAAGAAATAAGAAGTTCACACTTTCAAGCTGGAGCGAGAGCACAGCGGGTAGGGCGTTTGCCTTGCACAAGGTCGACCCAGGTTTGATTCCCAGCATCCCATGTGGTCCCAGAGCACCGCCAGGAGTAATTCCTGAGTGCATGAACCAGGAGTAACTGCTGTGCATCGCCAGATGTGACCCAAAAAGAAAACAACAACAACAACAAAAGTTCACGCTTTGTCCTGTTTTCTTAACTCAAATTAACTCCCACATACAGACCGTTCTTCCTTTCCTGGAGCTCCTGACAGCAGCAAATTCAAAAGCCTTACTCAGGACCACAGAGCATTTTCAGACCTCCAAAGCACTGAATTCTGTGAGCAGCCAAGCGGATGGGCACGACCAGCACTACCTCTCACCTGGACTGTGGGACCGTCTTATCCACAAACAGGAAGATGGCCTTTTCCGACGGAAGCTGGATCCTTTTCCTGATGATCCACATGAACTGAGCCACAGTGATGTCAGATGGGACCAGATACTTCCGCTTGTCAATGTCCACAATCTGAGAGCCTGACACCTTCTCCACAATCACCTGGGGAAGCAAAGGGAGGTCAGAACTGAACATCGACTGTGAGGCTCAGGCCTCAAACTGTCCGAGACCAGATTCAGCTGGGGGGGGGGGGTGGGGGGAACAACACGACACATGTCCTGGCTCAGGAAACCACACTACAGAGTAGCACTGCATAACCAGGGGAATGACATAGGCCCCCTCCTACCCCCCAAGGCACCCCAGGGAATTTCAAGGGTGCCCCAGGTGAAAACACGTAAATGGTGGCCACAGAATGAAACCAGGGGGCAAATGGATCCACAGGAAGGAAAACAAGGCTGGAAAAGGACCATGATCGGGAGAAGGTTGAGGAAAAGTGCTCCACCAATATAAATGCGTTACGGAGAAGCGGTAAGTGCCTTTTTGTGGTCAGCGATTCTATTTCTCATCCCTGATCTCAGCCCTTCTTATGAAGCTTCCCACCATGCTGTCCCGGCCGCCTCAAGAAGACATGAGGAGGTTCCCTCTCCACCCTGTAACCCCAGAACCCCAGCACAGCTCTGCCTTCACTCTGCAGGGGGAACTAAGGTCTCCAGGAACCGGGGCGACCAGAATTACAACCCAACTGGGGGGTTATCAGCACTCCCGGGCCAGAACCAGACCACCCCTTTGGCCTGTTGCTTTTCCCTGAACTAGGTCTCCAATCTGTCCCTCTTGCTCGGTCCCCAGAGCAATCATGCACAAGCCAAGAGCCGTAACAACAGGACTGGATGTCCTCTAAAAATCAATGGCCAGAAAGCATCTCCCCTGCCCGGGGAGGCGGACACAGCCCGACTCATTACCACCGAGCAGGGGGAAGGCCCGGAAGGGGTGGCGGGTGCGGGAAGAGAGGCGAGAGGCGGAGGCTCCAAGTTCAAGACCAACGTCCTGAAGCTCCGGAGCCACTTCCAGGCGCCCGGCGACGGTCTCCCGGCCCCCCTGCTCCCCCAAGTGACACTGTCGCCCGTCCTAGAACATCGTCCTTACATAATTGGCCAGGGAGCCCCGACCGACCGCGGCTGGCCTAGATCGGCGGATTCAGCACTGGGGCCGCCTGAACAGCACCCGCCCGACCCCCGGGGGGGCTCCCCCTCGAACCCGGGGCCGTGCGGCCGCCGCCGACCCCCTGGGCTGCCGCGGGCGGGCCCGCGGGGACCCCCCCGCCCCGGGTTCCCGACCGGAGGCGGCGGGGGAGGGGGGCAGGGCGGCGAGGGGGCGGGGAAGTCCCGACACTCACCGGAACCCGGTCGGGGTACTTGGCTCGGATCTTGGCCGACTCCACGCATCTGTGTTCTAAGGAGAGACGCACAACACGCGCGGCTGACGGCCCGGCCCGCGCCCCCCGCGCGCCCCCCGCCCCGGGCCCCGGCCTGGGCCTCGCCGGGGCGGGGGGGCCCCCCCGAGTCGCGCCGACCGCGGCCCCGCCCGGCCCGGCCCGAGTGGGGGAGGGGACCCCCGCCGGCGCCCCGCGGCCGCCCCCGGGCCCGCCGCTCACCCAGCGAGTGGTCCTCCTTGAACATCCACTTCATGGCGGCGGCGGGGAAGGACGCAGCCGGCCCGGGGAGCCGCGGAGCTCAGCGCACCGACCACAACAACAACGGCGGCGGCGGCGGCGGCGGCGACGGGGACTACGCGGCGGGCGGGACTTCCGGCGCCGGCGCCTAGCAACGGGCGGGGGCGGGGCTTCCGGCGCCGGCCGGCCGGCCGGCGGGGGCGGGACCCGACGCGGAAGAGCCCCGCGGGGTTGCCCAGGTGCGGGCCCCGCTGGCTGCAGGGGGGCGGCGAGGAGAGACTTTCGGCGGGGTGAGGGGGGTCAAGACGGGAGGTGGCCGGGAGGGCAAGGGCCCCGCTGCTCGAGTAGGCCGTGCAGCTATCGCATCTCGGAGAGCCGGACGGCAGAGAGCAGCCCACCCTGGGCCTGAGTTTATAAACAGACCCCGTGTCCTCCTTGATTCACCAAGTTATTTTTTTATTTATTTGCTTTTTTGGGGGATCACACCCGGCAATGCTCAGGGGTTACTCCTGGCTCTGCACTCAGGAGTTCCTCCTGGGGGTGCTCGGGGGACCATATAGGATGCTGGGTATGGTTGCTCATGCAAAGCAAACGCCCTCCCCACTTTGCCCTCTTCCCCAGCCCCTTGATTCCCGAGTAAACAGCCAAGGAGAAGCAGCCCCAGTGAGCCGGCGGGGGAGTAGCCACGCTCTGCTGGCGAAGACACCCTGGTCCTTAGGGGCAGGGGCTCAGCAGGGAGCACCCGCACCCCACACCCGCCCGGATGGGCTGCGTGCGTGGGTGGGTGTGTGTCACCTGCCAGGGCCCCTGTCCTGACATTCCCAGCGATGTCATTGCTGTCTTCCCAGCAGGCGGCAGGGCAGTGTGCTCCGGGTCATCCTCTGTTTACGAGCAGGTGACTGTGTGACAAGAATGTGGGCTCACGGGGCACATGATCCGCCACGTGCCCTGGATGCGGCTGTCCTGGCGGGTTTTCAACGTCGCCTTTCATCATTTCCTCCCATTGAAATTCCTGAAGCATGTTGTGGATTCTAGTTTCACTCTGGAAGTATCTTTGTTATTTTCAACTTGTGGGTCTCTGGGCAGCCAGGTGTTTTTTTGTTTTTTGTTTGTCTTTTTGTTTTTGTCCCTGTGGTACCGGGGATCAAATTCGGGGTCTCAGACCAATGAGGCGTGCACTCTCATGAGCTAAACCCGGGGAGCCCTGCTTGCTTGTTTGTAAGGGAGAAAAGACTTTGAATTTCCCACTTAGATGTTATTGTTGCCAATGGTGTTCTGGATATTAGGGAGAAACACGGAGCGGGAGCCGGCAGCTTTGCTCTAGTGGGAGAAGTCAACTATGTCAGGTGCCCTTTAGAAAAATGAAGCAGGGCTGGTGACTAAGTGATGGTGGGACAGAATGCTAATTAGGTGAAGTGTTTGGCTTATTCTGGGAACAGGAAGGAGCCTGGGTAGCTAGCTAGCTAGCTAGAGCAGACTAGAGAAGGGGCAGCGGAGAGTGTCAGGAGGTGAGATCAAAGGGATCTAGCACAAAACAGTTTGGAGCTTTGAGTTCTACTTGATGAGCTGCCTTTGTTTGTTTTTGGTTTTTAGACCACACCCAGCAGAGCTCAGGGACTGCTCCAGGCCCCGGTGCTCTGGGTTTGCATTCGGCAGTTCTAGGGTAGAGTGTGTGTGATATGCGGTGGTGGGGATTGCCCCCAGAGACATCCCACATGCTCATCCTGTTGAGTTCTCTCCAGTGGAAGAACTTGGAATTTTACAAAGAATGAGAAGTCAATGGAGGGATTTGGTGGAGGGGTGGGGTGTGTATAAGCCAGTAGAAGGTCTTAAACCAAGATGGTACCTGGGAAGGAAGTGGGAAGCAGCTGTAATTCTGGATATATTTTGAAGGTAATTGACCAAAGTTGCAGAGAGAGTGTATGTAAAGTATAAGTCCCAAGTTAAAGTCAAGGATTTTAGGGGCTGGAAAGATAGCACAGTGGGTAGGGCGTTTGCCTTGCACACAGCCGACCCGGGTTCGATTCCCAGCATCCCATATGGTCCCCTGAGCACCGCCAGGAGTAACCCCTGTGCATCGCTGGGTGTGACCCAAAATGCAAAATAAATAAATAAAGTCAAGGATTTTAAATGTATTGCCATTTCCTGAAATAGTTTGAGGGTGGGCTGTGAGAATCAAGAGTTTGATTTTAGGAGCCGGAGCGATAGTACAGAGGGCAGGGTATTTGCCTTGCATGTGTCAACCTGGGTTCAATTCTCACCTTCCCATACAGTCCCCCGAGCAACCACCATGAGGAATTCCTGAGTCCAGAGCCAGGAGTAATCCTTGAGCATCGCTGGGTGTGGCACAAAACTCCAGGGTCGTGGTGGCGGTGGGGGTTGATTTTGAAGGAGAAAAAAAGGGGGGGAGTGCCTACCATAAAGGCAGACCCAGGAGGTGGGAGGGAAACTGGGAATATTGGTAGAGAGAAGGGAATACTGGTGAAGGGACTGGTGTTGGAACATTTTACACCTGGATGATTGAGGCTCAATCATGAATAACTTTGTAACTTGGTAATTCATGGCAATTCAATAATGCTTTTTAAAAAGTTTGCTTTTGGTGGCTAGAGAGATAGTACAGTGGGTAAAGTGATTAATTTTTTTTTGCTTTTTGGGTCACACCCAGTGATGCACAGGGGTTACTCCTGGTTCATGCACTAAGGAATTACTCCTGGCGGTGCTTGGGGGACCATATGGGATGCTGGGAATAGAACCCGGGTCGGGCTGCGTGCAAGGCAAATGCCCTACCCGCTGTGCTATCACTCCAGCCCTGTAAAGTGATTAATTTTTATATGGCAGACCAAGATTTGATTGCCAACACCCCATATGTTCCCCTGAGCCCTAAAGAAGTGATCCCTGAGCACACGGCCCAGAGTAAGCCCTAGCACCTCTGGGTGTTCCCTCTCCCCACATGGAAACAAAACAAAGCAAAAAATTATAGTTCGATTTTGGATGTATTAAATATGAGATATCCAAGAGACACATACAAGGGAAGATGTAAAGTAAATGACCTATGCATCTCAAATGCAGGAAAGAAATATTTCAAGCTCTTGAATCATATGAGATCAACTAGAGAGTGAAAAATAAAAAGACCCATTTTTCAAATGGATTTTCATTTTGTCTTTTGTGTTTGGACACATTCATTGGTTCTCAGAAGTTGCTCCCCGCCTTGCTCAGGGGACCCTGACCCAGGATTGTGCTCTAGCTCATGGAATTATCACTGTGAACCTCCAAATAGGTTTAAAACCTGAAAAATGAAGATGATTGGTCATTATCTGATAGTCAGAAACTGTTCAGGACACCGACTTCCCTTTACAGAGTTGGTCATCGTGTCCTGGAGCAAGCCAGTCCTGAAAACAGCTCATTGCCCGTAGAACAGTTTTTAATACACCCCTCGAGGGAAGAGGCAGCCTTCTGGCTGTCATCTGAAGCTCTCAAAGGTATCCGGTGTCTGTCTTTTGTCATACCCTGCTTTTTCTTTGCTTTGGGCCACACCCAGCTATGCAATTTGTGACTCTGCATTCAGGTATCCTTCCTGGTGGTGCTTGGGGGACTATATGGGATCAAACCATGATCAGCCACATGCAAGGCAAGTGCCCTATCTACTGTACTATTGATGTCGGTGGGCCCCACGGGTGACTTATGTGAAGCAGGGAGGAGAAAGACGGTCACTTTCTCCCCAACTGCTTCTGCCACCCAGGACCCAGGGTTACTGAGTTCTTGTCTCGCCTCACAAAAAGGAATTTCAGGAGTAGACAAGCAGTGAAATAAATAGATTTTACTTGGAGGGTTTTTAAGGTGTGGATGGGGAGAGAGAGAGAGAGAGAGTAGAACGCACTCAAGAGAGAACACGAGCTTTTGCGAGGGCGGAGAGAGCCCCTACACACATCCTAGCATTAGACACAAAAGCATGGAAATACACATCTCAAGAGGGGAGATGCGGGCAACACGTACTCGGGCACCATGTGCTTGGCCATGTGGGCCCAAGCAGCACACAGGCTTGGGCAGCATCGGCATGCCTTTCCTTTGTTCATTATGGTTTTATAGGGTTTCTCCAACATGCCCCCATGGGGGGGCTTCTTCCCAGGTAAAAGTCCCGTTGCTAAGGAGGTTACCAAGGAGGTTGGGAGAGGTGATGGTGATTCTTTGGGCTGAATCACTAAAGTTATTCAGATTGAGGAAGAGGTCCGAGGGAATTCGAGGAATTTCCTTCATGGAGAGGGGTCCAGTCTCCTCAGGGTCCGCTGCTCAAGGTCTTATCCATATCCACAAAGTGAATCAGCCTTGGAATTTTCTTTCCAGAACTTTTGCTGGCCTATTTCATTGTCCAGGGCCTTTCCCTATCTACCTGCCTACATCACTAGCTCTCCAACCGAAGTTAATTCCCAATTTCCTTTTTGTTTTTTTGTTTTCAGCCATACCCAGTGTAGCTCAGTGCTTATTACTCCTGCCTGGCTTTGCACCCCATATGGGTGCCAGAAATTGAACCCAGCGTGACCGAGTACAAAGCAAGTCTCTTACCAGGCCCTCGTTACCTGCTTCTTGATGTCTTTCTCTAGTTCACCATTAGTTCTTTTTTTTTAATTTTTTTTGGGGGGGTCATACCCAGCCGATGCTCAGGGGTTACTCCTGGCTCTGCACTCAGGAATCACTCCTGGCAGTGCTTGGGGGACCATATGGGATGCTGGGAATTTAACAAGGGTCGGCCACGTGAAAGGCAAACGCCCTATCCGCTGTGCTATTGCTCCAGCCCCTAGTTCACCATTATTTCTTCCTTTTTTCTGGGGGTGGGGATGTGTTTAGCCACATCCAACAGTACTCAGAGCTTACTCCTGGATCTGTGCTCAGGAATGACTCCTGGCATTGTTCAGGCCATATGCGGTACAAAGGACCAAACTGTCACCGGAAACTAGATGACAGGTATTAGTCTCTGCAGTGAGAGCCGTGGAGAGGCCCTGGGTTTGCACAGGCTCATGGAAACGTGGCTACTAGCATGAGATTCAAAGATGCTGAGAAACGAAAGTTTATTGGGAGTAAAGACAGGAAGGACATCAGAGGAAGTACCGTAGAACAATTGTCATCTCGGAGTCTTCTTTTTTTTTTTTTTTTTCCTTTTTGGGTCACACCTGGCAATGCACAGTCGTTACTCCTGGCTCATGCACTCGGGAATTACTACTGGCGTTGCTTAGGGGACCATATGTGATGCTGGGAATCGAACCCGGGTTGGCCACATGCAAGGCAAACGCCCTACCTGCTGTGCTATCACTCCAGCCCTGTAGGAGTCTTCTAGATTCTCTTCATAACAGTACCAGTTTGGATCACTGCTCTGGGACTGCTGGTGCTGTTTATTAGTTACCACCTGAGTTAGGGCATCCCAACATCTCAAGATGTCATTTTATTTTTTTCTGTCATTTTATTTTTAACTTTGATTTACTGGACTGGAGCAATAGCACAGCGGGTAGGGCGTTTGCATGCTGCTGACCCGGGTTCAATTCCCAGCATCCCATATGGTTCCCTGAGCACTTCCAGGAGTAATTCCTGAGTGCATGAGCAAGGAATAAACCCTGTGCATAGCCGGGTGTAACCCCCCAAAACAACTTTGATTTATTGAATATGGAGGACCATAGAGGGTGCCAGGAATCGAACCCAGGTCGTCCACATGCAAGGCAAGTGCACTACCTATAGTACTATGACTCCAACCCGTTCTGTTATTTTATTGGTCTGCAGTGCTACCCTGGGCATGATTCACATAGTTTAAGGGTGCCCTTGGGAAGGTGCAGGCTGTGTAGCTCAGAGGCCTTGGGGGCTATTGATACTTTCTTTGCCCAGAAGGGCTATTCGCATGTTCTGGCTGAGATTCTTGCCGCTGCCTGGGCCTGTGGAGAGTTTTAATAATGTCATTGACTGTCTGAGGAGTCATTTGCAGAACACTAGATTTTTAGACAGCAGAGTAATGTACTTTGTAAGGTGGTTTAAACCCAGTGCCTGCTGATAGGGGAAAACTGAGGGATCCTACATCAGAACCAGGGTTGGTCACATGCCAGGCCCCCTTAGGAAATCTTTAAAGCAGGAATGACTAGTTTGGGGGTTGTTTGTTTGATTTTGGTTTTGGTTTTGGGGCTACATGGCAGTGCTCAGGGCTTATTCCTGGCTTTACACTCAGGAATTACTGATGGAGGTGCTAATGGGACCATACGGGATGCCGGGGATTGTACCCCGGTCAGCCCTGTGCAAGGCAAAGCGCCCTTCCTGCTGTACTGTCACTCCAGCCCAGAAGTGAGTAGTTCTATCCAGACTGGGTATGTCAGAAGCATTTTATGGTGGAAGACATTGCTAAAGACTCAAGGCCAGTAGGCAGGCCGTGGCTTCTCACTGTGTTGCTAGGATCTCAGCAGTTCTCTTCATTTAAAAAAAAACATTTCCGTGAGTCAGAAGAGAAACTGGGACCACTGGTGGTGGGAGAAGTACACTGAAATCCAATCATGAACACCTTTGTAAATGTGTCTATCACTGTGATTCAATAAATTTGTTTAATTAAAAGCAAATGAAAAAACCACTTCCAGGTCGCCTTCAACAATCAGGACACCAACTCCTTGGACTCACTCAGCACACACTTCCACTGTCTATTGGCATCGCACTATTGGCATCGCGCCGGGCTTTCCACGAAGAACTCAACTTTGGACCAGGGTCAAACCAAAACCAAACCAATCCTTCAGCGTCATTACAAATACCGGTGAGGGGGGCTGGAGTGATAGCACAGCGGGTAGGGCGTTTGCCTTGCACGCTGCGGACCCGGGTTCAATTCCCAGCATCCCATATGGTCCCTTGAGCACCGCCAGGAATGATTCTTGAGTGCAGAGCCAGGAGTGACCCCTGAGCATGCCAGGTGTGACCCAAAAAGTAAAAAAGAAAGAAAGAAAGAAAGAAAGAAAGAAAGAAAGAAAGGAAGGAAATACCGGTGGGGGTGAGAAGCATTCGATTAAATGATAAGCCAATTTTGTCTTTGACAAGGACTCCAAAGCACGTGACAATTACAAGGTAACAAGCATGGCAGAGAATTGCATTGGAAGGAACCCTTTCTTGCTCCTTAAAAAACAGAAGATTTGTGTTCCGTTTCTCTATGTGAAGTCAAGAGAAGCAAAAGAACATTTGGAGACAAAGGAACCCGGGTTCGGTCTTAGCCCAGACCTGGCCTCGGGCTGCGCCCACATTTATGTTGTGTGTTTTCCTCCTCCAGAGGAGGGTGTGCAGTGCCCAGCAAGTTGAAAGCGTGCGCCGCAGCGAGGGCCAATAGCTGACACAGACGCAATCTGTTGCTTTTAGTCACCTTTTACGAAAGCCCTGTTTTACGCACATGCTCTGGGTTTTGCCTCTGCTCAAACTCCGGGGCGGGGGACACCTTAAAGCCAGGTCGACGCGCCAGAGCGCGGGCCCCGCCCCTGTCCCCGCCCCCGTGGGCCCGAACCCCGTTAGCCTTGGCCCCGCCTCCCATTAGCCCCGCCCCTCGCGCAGCCCCGCGGCCTCGCCATTGGCTCCGCCCGGCGGTTGCCATGGAGACCAAGGCTATGGCAACCAAGAGAAGCCAAATTTGTTCGTGCAGCGGCTGGAGCGCTCGCAGGCTTCCACGCCGCGCCGATGGCTCTCTACGAGCTCTTCTCTCACCCCGCCGAGCGCGGCTACCGCGCGGGCCTCTGCTCCAAGGCCGCGCTGTTCCTGCTGCTGGCCGCCGTGCTCACCTACATCCCGCCGCTGCTGGTGGCCTTCCGGAGCCACGGTGAGCCCCCCGCGCCCGTCCCCCGCGCCCCGCGCCCCCCGCGCGCCCGGGCCCCCCGCTCACCCGCGCCCTCCGCCCCGCAGGCTTCTGGCCCAAGCGCAGCAGCTACGAGGAGCAGCCGAGCGTGCGCTTCCAGCACCAGGTGCTGCTCGTGGCCCTGCTGGCGCCCGGCAGCGACGGCTTCCTGGCCTGGAGCACGTTTCCCGCCTTCAACCGCCTGCAGGGCGATCACCTGCGCATCCCGCTCGTCTCGGTGCGTGATTCATCCCCGTCCCCGGGACTGGGCGGGGGGCCGCGCCACGGACACCCCCTGGCCCCCTCCGGGAGCCCTGCGTGGGCCTGAAGGGTTCGCGGGAGACGCGCGGCCCCGAGCGCGGGTGGTTTCTTGGGGGTGAAGTCTCCGTGCGTCCGGCTTCCTCCGAGCGGTCCATAACGCCCCCAGGAACTGGGCCAGGAGGCATCTTCCGGCCCCGCGCTGGCCCAGAAGTCCAGGAAGGGCCGTCCCTGCCCCGGTCGCTTCCGGACGCCCCAAACCATCAGAGGGGATGAAGAAGGGAGCCTTGACCAGGACGTGAGCCCGGCGTGTAAGCCTGCGCTGGCTGGCAGCGGTGCCCGCAACACGGAGGGGCAGGGTTCTGAGTGCACCCCGGCACGTGGGAGCCACGGCACTGGTCGGGCCCGGGTCCTCCCGAGCGTGCCCCGGGCCAGCCTGGCTCGCGTCCTCGTCCTGCAAACCGGCCCTTGGATGAGGCTACTTGCTCCCAGTACTGCGCGTTTGGTTCGGGATCAGAGTGCAGTTATCATCACCCCTTTCTGCTCCCTCTCTTTTGTTGTGGTTGTTTCCGGTTTGATTTGGGTTTTGGACCACACCGGGCTGTGCTCAGGGCTTTATTCCTGCTCTGCCCTCAGGAGTCACTCCCGCCAGGTCAGGGGATTGTGTGGGATGCTCCGTGGGAACCCAGATTGGGTGCATGCAAGGCGAGCACCTAACCCACTCTGCCATCTCTCTGGTCCCTCAGCACATTATCTTTTTTTTTCTTCTTTTTGGATCACACCCAGCGATCAGGCTTTACTCCTGGCTTTGCACTCAGGAATTATTCCTGGAGCTGCTCAGGGGACCCTATGGGATGCTGGGAATCGAACCCAGGTCGGCGGCGTGCAAGGCCACCACTGTACTATCCCTACCCGCTGTACTATCCCTCCAGCCCGCCTCGGCACATTTTCTTAAAATACTTAGACACACTTAAACTTTATTCATTATTCCCTGCCCTTTCCTGCGGTTGCTGCTGCTGTGACAGAGACCCTGGTCTGCAGTTGCGTTGGTGTTGAGTGGTGCTTGTGTGTATTGCTGCTCTCTGTGGTGCTGGCTGAGGCCACACTCTTGGTTGAGGCACTCAGGTTACCATCTCGCTGCTTGCTAGGGGGCCAGGGGGAGGGGGGTGTCTGTAAGTGCTCACTAGGGCTTGCACTTCCTGGCCAGGGCAATGCCCCATCTCTTTAGCTCTGGCAACCGCTGGGGCTCACTCCTTTTTTGCAGTGCTTGTGGATGCCTGGCCAGGGTGCAGCCAGTGGCCAGCACAGCTCCCAGGCCCATGCCCTGTGCATGTGAGACCGAGGCACTGAGCTTGTGGCCGCAAGCTGAAAGTCACAGTCACTTTGGAAAATAGAAATTGTCGGGGGGGGCAGCTCCTCAGAAAGTTCCATATTGATACCTTCTATGCCAGCATCTCCACTCCCGGCTGTTTGTGTACCCATGAGAATTGAAGGGATGAGTCTACCTGAAAACTTGTGCTACAAACGTTCTTATCAGCCTTATTCGTAACAGCAGAGAAAGTGAAGACAATCCATAAGTCTATCAAAAAATGAATGGAGATGGAGCCAGAGTGATAGTACAGCAGGTAAGGTTTTTGCCTTGCACGCAGCCCACCCGGGTTTGATCCTGAGCACCACTAGGAGTAATTCCTGAGTGCAGAGCCAGAAGTATCCCCCCCAGGTGTGACCCAAAAGTTCAAAAAAGAAGAGGGAAGGAGAGGGGAAGGAGGAGGAGGAAGAGGAAGTGGAAGAAAATGTGATCCGCCCATACAATGGAATACTATATCTAGGCCCCCAAAGAAATGGACTCTTTTTTCTTCTTTTTTTTTTTTTTTTTTGTTCTTTGGGTCACACCCTGTGATGCTCAGGGGTTACTCCTGGCTCTGCACTCAGGAATCACTCCTGGCGGTGCTCAGGGGACCCTATGGGATGCTGGGAATCGAACCCGGGTCGGCCGCGTGCAAGGCAAATGCCCTACCCGCTGTGCTATTGCTCCAGCCCCAGAAATGGAGTCTTAATACAAGTTACAGCGGGCACAATCTTAGTCACATGGGAACTGGAGTCCAGCCATGAAGCACCTGTGTTGGATGGTCCCATTCATATGAAATGTCAACAAATAGACATAGATTAAGGTTCACCAAGGACTTGGGGAATTGGGAGAGGAGAAAGCAGGAGGATGACTGCTAATGGTTATGTGGATGTTTTGATTTGGGGAGCACACCCAGCAGTGCTCTGAGGTTCCTCCCTCACAGGCTTGGCTTTGCAGGTGCTCAGACCATTGTGCTATCTCTCTGGCCCTTAACACCTCGTTACTGAAATTTCTGTTCTGATTGAACTCTGATGTGCAATGACAGTGCCCATATTTATCCTACCTGGTCTGTGCATATGGATTCTGCTTATCCCTAGAAAGGATGATCCTCCTTTACTCACCAAGAGAATTAGGTTTCCTGTGGCTCTCTTGGAAAGAGCACTGCATCAGAAGCACTTGCCCCAGCTCTGGCTCTGGGCCCCAGAGCCTCCCTCAGCCTCAGTGGAACTCCTTAAAGACCACCAGGTTCAGGGGCTGGAGAGATAGGACAGCCAGAAGGATGCTTGCCTTGCACATGACCAACCCAGGTTCGAATCCCAACATCCCATAGGGTCCCCTGAGTACCATCAGGAGTAATTCCTGAGCATTGCTGGGTGTGGCCCAAAACACCACCACCAGGCAGCTGGACATTATAACTGCCGGTGCTGGTGCCTCTCTCCTGGGATATACACGGGAACCGGATCAGATATAAAACCTGTTCCCAGGGACCAGAGCAGGGAGGGAGTTGGCTTGCACACTGCTGACCCGGATCCAATCCTCAGCATTCCTCATGGTCTCTTCAGAGCACCACCAGGAGTAATTCCTGAGTGCAGAGCCGGGAGCAACTCCTGAGCGTTGCCGGGTACCCACATCCACCCCCATCCCCAAAGAAAACCCAAAAATTGTTCTCAAATGAACACATATAGAGCTTAAAAGAATAAGGGGGGGCGAAGTGATAACACAGCGGGTAGGGCGTGTGTCTTGCATGCGGCCGACCTGGGTTCGATACCTAGCAACCCATATGGTCCCCCAAGCACTGCGAGGAGTAATTCCTGAGTGCAGAGCCAGGAATAACCCCCTGAGCATCGCTGGGTGTGACTCCCCCAAATTTTTTTTTAAAAATAAGAGGTGGGTGTGATTTCGGAGTTCTCTTAGCCAGACAAATGGATGGCATTATTGATATTAACCTTGACAGTCATACTCAAGAAAGTATTAGCTCTTTCGGCATGTGCCTGCACTGCTGTTGTGTGTTAAACTTGATTTGAGTAGAATGGCGTTGGATGGTGGATTTTATCTGTGGATCTACAGTAGCAGAGAAAAAAGGCCTCCCTTGGGGGCCAGAGCGATAGTCCAGCAGGTAGGGCATTTGCCTTGAACAGGGCTGACCCAGGTTCTATCCCCCACAGCCCATATGGTCCCCTGAGTGATTCCAGAGTATTGCCGGGTGCTGGGTGTGAGAGCCAGGAGTAACCCCTGAGCACTGCCGGATGTGACCCCCCCCCCAAAAATGAATAGACCCACCCTACCCAGCCCTGTGGGCATGGGAGGATTGGGCCCTCTGTGCCCCCTGCCCAGCCCTCTCTGCCTCACCCATCCCCACCCTGCTGCTCCCTCGGCCCTGCCCTGCCTCATTTCCCCATGCCTCCTCGCCGCCCTGCTGTTGCCAGCAGTCAGACCTTCCTGAATCTTCTCTGTACAAGGTTCTGTTCAGCTCTGCCCTGGCCATAGCCTAATTTTAGCCAGCTTCATCTTCCTCCGGGGCACTCTCCACCACCGAGATAGATTTATTCATTGATTTCTTCTCGGCCTCACTGCTGGGAATGGGAGCGCCACTGCAGTGGGCTCTTGCTCTGTTTTCTTTGCCAGTCTATTTCCAGCACCGGAAACAGTTCTGGCCCCTTAAAAAAAATAGGCAACCGATGCTGAGGGGATGTAGCCAGTGACACTAATGATGCCGCTATGCCCACTCTGTCTCCCAGGAAGGTGAAGGAGTCACACAGCAGTCTTGCGTTTTGATTTGGCGTTTGAGCCACTCTGGGCAATACTCAGAAGCTACTCCCAACTTAGTACTCAAGGGTTGCTCTGGGTGGTACTCAGGGGACTGTGTCTGCCTGAGGATGGAACTCATTCAGCCCATTGAGCTATCTATGGCACTGGGTTTTCTCTTGTCCTGCCAAATGTCTTTTTGAGTTTTGTCCCTGTTTTTTATTTATTTAATTTTTTTTTTTAAGTCTGGACAGCTATTCCTAGAACGTTTTAAAGTCAGAGATACGGTTTTAAGTCAGGTCTTCACCATTTATCAGCCTTCACAATAAATCCCTGAAGCCTCAGTGTTCTCATCTGTACAATGGGGATAATACTCGCTCTGCTTCCCCACGGTGTATTGTAAAGAGGAGCTGAAGCGCAGTTCTCTTCCTTCCTGCCACAGTGTATTTTGAGTCTGAGTTCTTCTGGCCCTTCCCGCCTGGCTGCTGTCCTCCCTTGCAAGTTGAGACACTTGATCTTTGTCTCTTGGTCCATCCCAAGAGATCCCGAAGGCGTGGATTCACGAGCCCATTGCATGCGAGTCCAGACCCTTCCCGGACACCAGACGAGGGAAATGCAAGGGGAAAGACAAGGCAGCCTCTTTCTGTCCTGCTCATAATTGCACAGACATAATTGCCTCCGTAACCCGATCATCAGTAACAGATACCCCTCCCGGCACTGAGGAAACTGGGGGGTACAGGACAGAGAAAACTGTCTCCAGCAGAAAAAAAAAAGGGTAGGTTTCTCGGTGAGCCGACCTCGGATAAGGGCATCATTGTCTGGAGGCAGAGAAACGACGGAAAGGTCGGGGAAACAGATCTCGCCGCCCTGAACCCTGCTGGCCTGACAAAGAACAAAGAGTGTCTTCCGTGCATAAGGGTCTTGGTGATGAAAAGGAGAGTGAAGCAAGGTCAGGGAACTGCAGAGGGGGTGTGGGGAGCCCGTCGGGAGCAAGCCGACCCGATTCAGGGAGTGGAGTCAGTGCCGAGTGTGGCCAGGATCTCCCGTCTCCCCCCACTTTAGGATCATTTAAGTCTGGTCATTGCCTGGCAAGCTCCCCGTGGCATATTCGATATGCCAGACACAGTAACAACAAAGTCTCCAGTGGAGACGTTACTGGGCCCGCTCGAGCAAATCGATGACCAACGGGAGGACAGTGATACAGTGATACAGATTGTCATTGTAGGATTCGCTCTTCAGGGTCCCCCTGAGACAGGGCAGGTGACCAGCACGTTCCTTCTCCAGACCGGGAATTCGCCTCATGCCCCTGCCACCCCGCACTCTGCTTTCCCGCTTTCACGTCCATAATTTATAAAGGTCTGTGTAGTTTTAATGCCTCACTGCTTTTCCTCAGCTTCCTTTTTCATTTTATTGATTGACGCTAAAAGATGCAGTAGGCTGTAAGGCCTCGACATCGATGATGAGTTGAGGTCCAGCGTTAAGAATCTCAAGCAGCGTTTGTGGCTGAAGAAGGTATAAATAGCGCGGGGCGCGTTTCTGCCGAGTGCTGGGGGATGCAGGGTGGTTCCTGTTGGGCTCTTTTCTGCTTGAGAAAGTCTGAGTTCTTGGGGAGATCGCCAGAGGGCTCTGGTTCAGTCGATGGCACTGTTTACGCCCCCACCACCACCAGAGTGGCACCCCCGCCCCCCCCCCCCCCCGCCCCAGCCAGCAGAGCGCCTGAAGTGGCCCCTGAGCACCGCTGGGTGTGGCCCACGGCCAAACCAAAACACCCGGAGTGGGTGACTTCTCCAGAGTCAAGGTGAAAGATAAACACCGCAGACCTTCCTCATATGCAGAGTGTGAAGAAACTGAAAGGGCGTAGACAGCCCTAGTGCAGACAAGCCCTGGGGAGACCCAGTGAGAGGGGAGCGAGCAATGCTGGAGGGATTGGGGTCACGCTCGGTGGTAAAACAGGGACCTTGATGCCAGAATAAACTCTGATGCCTCGATAAAAGAGAAAGTTGAGGGCCAGAGCAATAGAGCAGTGGGGAGGGCACTTGCCTTGCACCCAGCCCACCCAGATTCTATCCCCAACACCCAGTATGGTCCCCCAAGCTCTCCAGGCGTGAAATCTGCCAGGTGTGACCCAAAACAGAGAGAGAGAAAGAGAGAGAGTGTGTGTGTCAGTTCACTTTCATATGAGCTGAGGATAACTCTGGCGGCTTGTTTTCATTTTCATGCATACTCAGGCGTGCTGAAAGAGAAACAAGCCAATGACATCAAACGAGACAGCTGAAGAAGGACGCCAGCCAGGCCGTGGCACTGCCCGCTTGGTGGCTCTGGGGGAGTGTGGAGGAGGCCAGGGGCCCCGCCTGATACACGGAGGCGATTCCTTCCTCTCCTTTCCTCCCACTTCCCGGCCTTGTGGCTGCTGCTGTTTGCAGAGGTCCCACCCCTGGCCGTGGGGCGCCGTGAGCCCCCTCTCTGCTGGTCCCCGGGACAGTGCCACAGGGCCGGAGTTGGGGGTCCAGCCCACAGCCTCCTGCTCAGCAGGAGGCGCCCCCACGCCCCCCTGTTTCGCCAGTGCATGGGTGCAGGTGTAGACTGGGGGGGTGCACTCTCGGTTTCCCAGGCCAGAGAAGAGGACCGGAACCAGGACGGGAAGCCCGACGTGCTGCACTTTAGGCTGGAGCTGCCGCTGCGGGCGACAGAGCACGTGTTGGGCGTGCAGCTCATCCTGACGTTCTCCTACCAGTTGCACGTGAGTCGGTCCTACGGGAGGCCCGTCCTCACCCCTTGTCTGTTTATGGGGTGGGGAGAAGCGGGACTCTGTGGCTTAGGGCTCCCTCCGGGCGGCACTGAAAAACCCTGTATAAGGACTGAACCGGGGTGGGCCAGAGGCAAAGGCCTGTAGTATCTCTCCGCCCTTCCGTTCTTCCCCTTCACACCAGCTCTCTGTCTAACTTCTGCTCCGCGGAGGCGCTTCTGAGGCGTCCGTCATTTGGGATCCAACGCAGGCAAATCAAGTCTCTCTCAGTGGGTTCCTGTAGATTTATCTGAGCCGCCAGCAGCCCGGGAAGTGCTGAGCAGAGAGCTGAGGGGCTAGTGCCCAGCACCCCGGGCTCTGACGCTCCGGCGTGCCTGGAATGCTTGCAGAGGATGTCCACGCTGGTGATGCAGAGCATGGCTTACCTGCAGTCGTCCTTCGCCGTGCCGGGCTCCCAGGTCTACGTGAACGGAGAGCTGAGACTCCAGCAGAAGCAGCCACTCGGCTCCAGCGGCCTGGACACGCGCTACAACGTAAGGGGCGCCTCATTCTCTGTGTCTCCTTGTTGCGGGGGGGGGGGGGGGGGGGGGGGCGGCACCCCAGGCAGTGCTCAGGAGCTCAGGGGCCCGTCCTGGCAGTTTAGTGTGCGGTGCTGCTCCGGCCACCCGGGGCTGGGGCCCACCTGTGCCACCTGGGCGGTTCCTTCAGGACTGCAGTGGGGGACACTCGGGACCGCGTGGTGCCAGAGAGTGAACTGGGGTCAATGCCCGAGTCCTTGCACGGTCTCTCTGGCCCCCATCATTTTGTTTATGTTTGGTTTTGAGGGGTCATCCCCGGTGGTGCTCAAGCAGCTACTCCTAGCTCTGTGCTCAGGGTCACTCCCAGTGAGACTGTGATGCCGTGGATGGATTCGGGTCAGCCACAGGCCGGGTAGGAACCTTCACTACTGTGATGTCCCTCCAGACCCCAGAGGAGTTGGGGTTTGTTGGTTTGGGGCCACACGCATCAATCCTCCTGGCTCTGCCCTCTAGATGATTCCTGGCCACGCGCGGGGGACCATCTAGGGTGCCAGGAATTGAACCCGGGTTGGCTGCGTGCGGAGCAAGTATCCGACCCGCTGGACTATCGCTCCCCCTCTTCCCAGCCCGTCAAGTTAAGGAGGAAGAAACGAGCCCAGGAAAATGGCTCCAAGGATGGGAGCAGGTTGGAGCCCTAGGGCTGATCCCTGGCACCCTAGGGCCCCCTGGCGCTGCCGGGAGCACGGGACCAAACGGAGTAGCCCCCAGCACCATGCCGTGCCTCCAGAAAACATTAAAAGAAAAAATGGAAGTCAGAAATGACTTTTTTCTGTGAGGATCGCAGAAGAGGATTTCTGAGGAATGTTTGCCGTGAATTCTTTCAGAACAGACAGCCAGCTGCACCTATATTTACATTTGCAAAGGGAAGAAAAATTGTCTCTAAGAACCAAATTGGTTTTTGTTTTCAGATATATACACAACATATCCTAGTGACCTTTTTCAATTTGTGTGAAACGTTTCCAAAGTAAGACTAAGGGGCTGGAGGGAGAATGCAGGAGGCCAGGCCCCGGGCTTTGTAGCCGAGATTCTGGTTCAGCCCCCAGCGGCATCTGGCCTCAGGGGCCACTCCTGACCACAGAGCCTGGAATCATCCCTGAGAACTGCTGGCTGTGGCCCAGAAGACAAAATAAGGAAATAACTAAGACTAAGCCCTGGTTTGGTTTTGTGTGTGTGTGTGTGTGTTTTGTTTGTTTGTTTTTAATTTTTATTGAGGCTGGAGCGATAGCACAGTGGGTAGGTCATTTGCCTTGCATGCGGTCGATCCGGGTTCGATTCCTCTATCCCTCTCGGAGAGCCCGGCAAGCTACCAAGAGTATCCTGCCTGCGCGGCAGAGCTGGCAAGCTCCCCGTGGCATATGCAATATGCCATAAACAGTAACAGCAAGTCTCACAATGGAGACGCTACTGGTGCCTGCTCGAGAAAATCGATGAACAACGGGAGGACAGTGCTTACAGTGCAGTGCTTTATTGAATCAGCATGGGGTAGGCCATTATAAAGCTGTTCATGGCTGGGATTCAGCCACGCAATGACCCAACCCCCATCCCTCCGCCAGTACACGCCTCCTACCACAATGTCCCCCTCTCCCTCTCACCATCCCCCCACCCCAGCCTGCCTCTGTGGCGGGCACCCTCCTCCCTCCCTCCCTCCCTCCCTCCCTCTCTCCACTTGTGCATTACGGTGTGCAGTACAGGTACTGGGAGGTCATGGTGTTTGTTGAGAGCGTTCAGTATTTTTATTGGAAGCCCCAGTAATTAGGCACATGCGTGTGATTGAAGATGCTGATGTCTAACATGGCACATACTGGTCAGCTCTGTCCCTGCGGAGGCCTGCCCTGCCCTGCCCTCTCCCGCTCCCAGCACTGTCTCTCCCCAGGCCCTGCTGCCCTTTGATCTTCAGTCCACAAACTGGTCCCTGTGGGCCTCTGCAAGTCCCCCTGGGCTGGCCCTGCTAGTTCGAGTAGGTTCCTGTCCTCTCTGGGCTGTTCCTGCCCCGCCCCCCGCCCCCCCCCCATAGGAAAGAGCGTTCTCCTTGCATCATCCCTGTGTGCAGGCCACAGCCAGCGATGCCCGGGGCTTCCTCCTGGCTCTGTGCCCCAGGATCACTCCTGGCAGTGCTCGGGGCATCATATGGTGCTGGGGGTCGAACCCGAGCCTGCCACATACAAGGCCGGTGCCTAGCCCCACACCCTCTGCAGCACATGGCTTGACTTTCCTGTCTGACCTCACCTGAACGGTGAGGGGGAGAGTCTCAGCTTCCGTATTTACCGTCTCCCTCGGTGGTCAAAGCGCCCACATCCCTCTCTCCCCCAGAGACCGCAGAGTCGGGCCGGTAAGAGAGAACTGGCAGCTCAGCCTCACCCCCGGAGCCGGGTTCACAGGGATGCGTTTCCCCACAATCCTGCACTCTGAAGCCGGGGGCCAGGAGTTACCTGTCTGGAGCCAGAGCTCACATCTCTGTGAGTTTTTTTCTGGCATCATTCGGGAGCGGCATGTAAAATGGGCTGGTCCGCTTTTGAAAATGAAAGACAGATTTTGTTTGTGATTATAGCATAAACAAGGATTGTCCCAGATAAGCAGATAAATCCTGGCTATTATCAACATGAATTGGAATACAAAAAGGAAGGGAACTGTAAGATAAAACATAACGTGATCCTTGGTGCTTCTGGAAGGCTTTGCTGTTTGTTATTCTTCTTAGTTTCGATTTTGGGGCCTCATCCAGCTGTGCTCAGGGCTTCCTCCTGCCTCTGTGCTCAAGGGTCACTCCTGGTGAGCTTGGGAGACCATAATGGGGGTGCCAGGAAGCATGCGCCTGAACCTGCTGTACTATTTATCTAGCCCATTATTGTTGCTTTCTCCGGTTTTAGGAAGGTAAATTGGGTGTGGCCCAAACAAACAAAATAGTACAGGGGTTAAGGTGCTTGCCTTGAGTGTGGCTGACCCAGGTGCAATCCCCAGCAGTGTGTGGTCCCCCAAGTACCACTGCAAGTGACCCCTGAGAACAGCCAGATGTGGAAGAGAAACTGAAAATACTTCCCGGAGCTTAGAGCTAATAGTACAGCAGGTAGGACGCTTACCTTGACACAGCCAACCCGGATTTAGTTCTCAGCACCCCACACTGGTTCCCTGAGCACCACCAGGAGTAACCCCAGAGCATCATCAGATATGGCCCAAAACTAAAATTAAAAACTGAAAATAAATTAGGGAGCAGAGTGACAGTACAGCGGGGAGGGCGTGTGCCTTGCAGTTGGACGGCCCGGGTGTATTGCGGTGCTCCACCGGAGTGTTTTTTTTAAATTTTTTTTTTTTATTAGTGAAACACCATGAGGTACAGTTGTAGATTTACAATTTTTTGTGCTTTGGTTTGATTATACAATGATCAGATACCCATCCCTCCACCAGTGCCCGTTTTTCACCACCATGGATAATATCCCTCCCACCCCCATCCCCCCATCCCCCCTGCCTCTGTGGCAGGGCAATCCCCTGTGTTCTCTCTCTCCTTTTGGGTGTTGTGGTCTGCAAAAGAGGCTTTGAGTGGCAAACATGTTCAGGCCATAGTCCACTTTCGACATGCATCTCCCCTCCTGGGAGGATCCTCCAAACACCCTTTATTTGGTGCTCCCTTCTCTATCTGATCTGCCCTTTCCCCTAGAATACCCGACTGGCCTCTAAGCTATGGAGTAATCCTCCTGGTGCTGATCTCAGCTATTCATGGGTATTAATCTTATATTTTGTTACTTTATATCCCCAGATGAATGCAATCTTTCTATGTCTTTCCCCTCTTTCTGACTCATTTCGCTTAGCATGATACTTTCCATGTAGTACCACTTGTATGTAAATTTCATGACTTCATCCTTTCTAACAGCTACATAGTACTCCATTGTGTAGATGTACCAAAGTTTCTTTAACCAGTCATCTGTTCTCGGGCACTCAGTCTTTTCCCAGATTTTGGCTATTGTAAAGAGTGCTGCAATGAACAAACAAGTGCAGATGTCACTTCGACTATACATTTTTGCCTCTCTGGGCACCGGAGCGTTTTTTGAGAGCAGAACCAGGAGTAAGTTCTGAGCATTGCTGGGTATAACTCAAAAACATAAACAATTTTTTATTTATTTATTTATTTATTGGTTTTGGGTCACACCCAGCAATGTACAGGGGTTACTCCTGGCTCTGCACTCAGGAATTACTCCTGGCAGTGCTCGGGACCATATGGGATGCTGGGAATCGAACCCAGGTCGGCTGCGTGCAAGGCAAACGCCTTACCACATGCTTACCTTGAGTGTGGCTGACCCAGGTTCAATCCCCAGCAGTGTGTGGTCCCCCAAGTACCACTGCAAGTGACCCCTGAGAACAGCCAGGTGTGGAAGAGAAACTGGTTCTGCTCTCAAAAAACACTCAGGTGGAGAACCGCAGCGTACCTGGGCCGTACAACTGCAAGGCAAGCGCCCTCCCCGCTGTACGGTCACTCTGCTCCCTAATTTATTTTCAGTTTTTAATTTTATTTTTGGGTCATATATGATGATGCTTCCATATTGCTCCAGCCCCAACAAAAACAATTTTTAAAAAATTTAATAAACTGTCCATTGTCAGCCAGGAATGGGGTCAGCAGTGGAGACTTACCTTGCATATGTGAGCCCTTTGGTTCAATTCCCATCAGAAAAAAAATTCAGTGGTTTTAAATTATCCACTATGGGCTTTATCCCTTCCCTCAGAGAAGCCCACGTTCTCCCTTGAACATGTATTTCTCTCCCCTCACACTTCTCTAAGTAAATTTCTTTTATTAGAACAAAAAAAGTTATCCACCATGAGGATTTGATACACGTGTGAAAGGGATCTTCGTGTCTAACGAACATGACTGTCACCTAACACATTGAGTGTTTGTGTGAAACATTAAGTTCCCTTCCCAGCAAATTTTATTCATATAATACAGTATTACTAGTTTCAGTGATTATTCTAAGTATTAGTGACTTAGATATTATTCATCTTATAACTAAAAGTTTAGAACCTTTGATATTTTTATAAAAAAAAATTGAGGGACCGGAGCAATAGTACAGGGGTAGGCTTTTGTCTCACATGCAGCTGACCTGGGCTCGATCCCCAGCCTCCCACATGGTCCCCCCAGCCTTCCAGGAGTGAAAGCAGAACTAGGAATAAGCCCGAGGTACCGCTGGGTGTGGCCCAATGATGTTCCTTTGGGGGGGCGAAAAGGTAGGGTGCTTGCCTTGCACATAGCTGACCCAGATTCCATCTCTGACACCACATCTGTTTCCCCAAGCCCCACCATGAGTAACCCCTGAAAACAGCCAGGAATAAGTCCTGAGCACAGCGAGGTGTGCCCTCCACCCAGAAGAAAAAACCCACAAAAAATGTTCATGTCAGGAAAGTGGAAATTAATACCACCAGGAGACACCAGCTAAGACCACCAGGAGACACCAGCCCCTGCCTGCAAGAACGGCCACATCACGGGCACCGAGCACAGAGAGTAGGAGGAGAAGGAAGCTTAGTGCACATCAGTAGGGATGTAAATGTGCATTGATCTTGGAGAAAGCAATGGAGTGTCCTTAAGAAGACAAAGATAGAGTAGCGGTGTGACCATCAGTCTCACGCTGGCAAGCTTACTTCCCTGACAGGAGCATTTTTTGAGGGTTTTTTCTTCCGGGCGGGGGCCACACCTTTGCTGTGCCCAGGGGTTATCACACCTGGCTCTGTTCTCAGGGGTTATTCCTGGTGGGACTTAAGGTACTATAGTGGTGTCAGGGATGGAAATTGGGTCAGCTGTGTGCAAGGCAAGCACCCTACCTGCTGTACCATCTCTTTGGCTCCCCAGATAAACTTTTTTTGGGGGGCGGGGGGCTGCTACACTTAGTGGATGATCCAGCCAAGAACACTGGAACATTAACCTCGAAAGTCATATCGATCCACTGTCTATTGATGCTGTTTACGTCAGCTACAATGCAGAAGCAGCCGGAGTGCTATTGGTAGTGTGTAAGAAAGAAGTGGTCTGGGGGCCAGAGAGAGAGTGTGCAGGTAAGGGACACGCTTTGCATGTGGCTAATCCAGACTCGACCCTCAGCACTCCTACGGCCCCCTGAGCACCAGTAGGAGGGGCCCTGTGCTAAGCCAGAGGTGGCCGAAAAACCAGCGCAGAAGTGTCATGTTCATACAATGGAAGACTGTTCAGGCATTTTACGAAATGAAACCTTGACATTCGCAAGGAAGTGATTGGGGGGGGGGGGGGTCGGAGATATACTGGAGGGGTTAAGGCATGCTGCTTTGCATGCCACCGACCCTATTCTGGACCCCAGAACTGCAGATGGTTCCCTGAGCACAGCCAGGAGTGACCCCTGAAGAAACTCAAGTGATTTATGCAAATGCCAGAGGATAAGTATTGTAAGGCCTTGTGCACGACATAAGGGTATAATGTTAGTGAATAGACACAATGAAAAGACAAGTAGACATTGGCAACAGAACTGAGATCACCAGAAGGAGGTAGACAGATGGACCGATGCATAGATGGATGCAGGCACGCCAGAGAGATCGCACAAGTAGAGGCTTGTTCGATGAATCCTCAGCACCAAATGTGGTCCCCGAGCATCAGTAGGGCTCACTCATGAGCAGAGAGCAAGATGTGGTCCAAAAAAATGAGGGGGAGAGAGAGAGAGACTTCTTGCCAGACTCTACTTCCATTTCTCACCAGCCAGGGGCCCACCTTTTTGTTAGGTGATGGGGGCTGGGCTGCAGAGCCAACAGTGCTCAGGGGTACTCCTGGCTGGGTGCTCTGGGCTCACCCCTAGCAGTATTCAGGGAAACTACTTGGTGCCAGAGATCAAACTGTGATTGGCTGCATGCCAGGAAGGCATCCCACCCCTGCACTGTCTTATCCCTGCCCCTTGCGTGCGCTCTCCTCGCCCACTTCCTCACACTTGCCATGGCAGTGCAAGCACTTGTGGGCAGCATGGGGCATCCGACTCCTGGCCTCGGCTCGAAAGGCAGGCATTCTCCTCACTGGGCCACCCGCACAGAAGAAAAGAGTATCCAACACTGGATTAGACCACCAGGAGCGAGAGGGTGGCCTCAGAGCAGCATGGGTGGCCGGACAGCCCTAGCAGTACCCAGTGATGTGGAGGGGTTGCTCCTGGCAGCCAGGGTCCATTGCCGATGGCCCCCACATGCACAGCACGTGGTCCACCCCTTGCACGGTGCAGCTGCCCTGATACTCACCGTTTTGTCCTGCCATATCCCAGGTGTCAGTCATTAACGGGACCAGCCCCTTTGCCTGGGATTATGACCTGACACGCATTGTCGCTGCCTACCAGGAGAGGAATGGTAAGTGGGGCCGACACATGCGGACGCTCCCCACATCCTCCCGGGTCGCGGGGGGCTCTGGGGAGCACTCGTCATGCTGCAAGAGTCCGGACCAGGGACTGCGCAGTGAGCAGAGGAGGCGGTTCCTGTGAGTTTGTCCGGTCTCTACTAACCAAGAGCCCGCCTGGGTCGGCAGACCCGTGCCAATGAACTGAACTAGTGCCGGATTCATCACGCTGCTGGCTTGGGGTCCACGGCTGGGCCCAGCACTTTTGGCTGGCCGATGGTCAGAGTTTTCCGCTAAAGTATTACTTGGAAGCCAGACATTCTGGCTACTACACAGATGAGCCTACAGTTCCAATGTTGTATAGTATTTCTGCAGCAGCATTGCCCCAGAAATAAAGGATCTGGAGGCTGCTGAGATAATACAGCAGGTAAGGTGCTTGCCTGGCAGGTGGCTGACCTGGGTTCAATCCCCTGGCACCCCATATAGTCCCCCAACCACACCTAAGCATAGAGCCAGGAGTAAGCCCTAAGGCCCAAATCACACAGACTACCCCCCAAATACAGGATTTTCTTTCTGCAGTGCTAGGGATTGAACCTAGGGGCCTCCCTATGTGTAAAGTAAGAGCTCTACCACTGAGTTATATCCTTGGCCCTCCCATAAGTAATCTCAACAGCGGACAGGGTGGTATAAACCACAGGCCCCTGATCACTGCTGGGGGCACAAAGCCATAAGTCGCCCCCATGCACTGCCATGTGTGGCAGAAATAATAATTGTTTGAGTAATTCTGAAATCAACTCAACTTTTCTTTCTTTACTCCTTCCTGTCTTTGTCCAAATGCAGGATTATTTTTCCTTTTTATACTGCTTTTATCACAATTCGGTATCCAACTTTTTTTTTCACTTTGTAATGTAATTATATCATGACAAGTTATAAAGTCTTAATTGGTATGGATTTTAGTGGTAGCATAACGTGCCTCTACTTAGTCACTTAGTCACTTAGACCCGCCCATAGTCTGTTCCCACACCTTGCACCCAAGTATTTTCACAGATATTCTACCAAATAACTTGTGGGCAGCTTTTCACATTCAGTTTCTCTTTCCTTTGGGACCATTTCGGTGGAGCCAGTTTGCAGGGCAGAGTTGTCAATGTGTCTGCCTTGCCGTTGGTCTCTTCTGGCCAGAGAGCACTAAGGTGGGCTCCTGCCTCACTGTCTTGCAGTCACCACTGTCCTGACCGTCCCCAACCCCGTCTGGCTGGTGGGCAGGGCCGCCGAGGCTCCGTTTGTGATTGATGCTGTGATCCGGTACCCACTGGAAGTCATCGAATATCCTTTCAGTTAAAGAGCATCCATGGCTTAGTTTCTGCAAAGAGCATTTCTCAGTTGTCCCAAGAAGGAACAGAGGTGAGACGTCCCCTTGCGGGCAGCGGCCCCACATAAATTACCTGGTTTTTCTGTACTTCCTGTGTGGGTAAAAGCATTTCCTGGCCACATTTCTTTCTGAGGAATTCTAGATCAAAATCACCCTTATTTACATAGTAATACTCTCTTGTCTCTCTTTTTTTTTTTAAGTAAGGATCTTTATTTATTTATTTATTTATTGTCTTTTGGATCACAACGGCAGTACATAGGGGTTACTCCTGGCCCATGCACTCAAGAATTACTCCTGGTGATGCTCGGGAGACCATATGGGATGCTGGGAATCGAACCCAGGTCGGCCGCATGCAAGGCAAATGCCCTACTCGCTGTGCTGTCACTCCAGCCCCTTCTTTTTTTTCTTGTGGGTATTTGTGGCATTTTTGCCATTTCCACCCTCAATTTGGGCTGAATAACTTAACTTCCAAAGACCTGGCTGACTCCTTAACCCTGCACCTATCGCCCAGGGTTCTGGGAAATGATCAAGTTCGCCTGGATCCAGTATGTCAGCATCCTGCTCATCTTTCTCTGGGTATTTGAGAGAATCAAGAGATTTGTGTTTCAGAATCAGGTGGTGACCACCGTCCCTGTCCCAGTCCTGTTACCCGGTGAGCTGCGGAAGGAGCACTTAGCCTGAGGACCCCTTGAGTGCACTGGGCAGGTCCTGCCTACCTCACCGTCCCTGGAGAACAGCCTTCCAGGATGTTCCGGAACCGAGTCCCTGGACACGTGTGACAGACAAAGGACGGTTCTCAGTTACTCTCTACAAACCCCCTCTCTACAAGTCCCCCTGCTGGGAGCAAGGACTGGGGGTTCCTACAGGGCTGTCACCTGACCACTTCTCTGCCTGAGACTGAAATTTCAGGAGCAAACATCTTGGAGAGATTCCCACCTCTAGTCGAGCAGGACTTTCTCCTGGAAGAGAAAGAGAAACACACACACACACACACACACACACACACACACGTAAATGGATCACATGTTCACTCCTGACATCTCAATTCCTTCTGACTTTATTTCTAGGAGTGAGGGGCCTCCTGGGGAGGATGAGGAAGCCCCGCTCAGGAGCAGGCATGTACAGGGGCAAGGGCAGCTCACGGCCCTCAGACTGTCAGCAGCTCAGCTGATGGCCCCTTTATCATGCCCAGCTGTGGCTGGCTGGGCACCCTGCCCGCCGCTCTCTGCCCGTCCGCCCGACGGGGGCCGAAGTCAGCAGTGCTGTCTGCTTGCCCAAGGCCACGGCCGTGGGGATTCAGGGTTGGAACAGCGCATCTTTCTCCCTGGTCCTCCTGCCCCAGCAGCCTGGATGCTCGCCCCTCTGCCCCGTCCCTGAGAAGGCCACAGAGGAGTCTTTGTTGACCTCGGCACCCACTGCAGGCTTATCTGCAGGGCCAGCCGGCCTCCTGGGCATCATGCTTCCCTGGACGCAAGGCAACCCTCAGATGGGAGAGCTTGTGTCTGGGAGGACATGTCTGCTATGTTCATGCCTCATGCCCACCCTCAGCGTGTGCCTCAGTTTACCTTGGAGGAAACATTATTTCCAAAATACCCTTTTTTTTTCCCCCCTGTGGGATGGGGACGCCTGGTGGTGTGCAGGGCTTATCCTAGCTCTGTTCTCAGGGTTCACTCCTGGAGGTTCTTGCAGAACCATATGGAGTTCCAGGGATTGATCCAGGGTTGATCACCTGCAAGGCAAGAGTCTTAACCCATGTACTATCTCTCCAACACAAAAGTACCTTTCATTTGCGGGGGGCGTGGCTGAGAGGGAAACCACACCTATTGGTGCTCAGGGCTCATTCCTGGCTCTGCACTCAGAAATTACTCCTGGCAGTGCTCTGGGGACCATATGGGATGCCGGGAATTGAACCCGGATCAGCTGTATGCAAGGCAAGTGCCCTACCTGCTGTACTATTTCTCTGCCCCCTCCCCCAACCAGGTACCTTTTTTTCCAGGTTGACTGAGAGTTTTGCAAACAGCTGTTCCAAAGCACTCCAGCACACTCACCCTTTGCCCTCTCTTTTCATGTTTAGGGCCTCTCATAGGCAAGAGTTCGTTGTTGTTTTTTTTTTCCTTGAGATTAAAAGGAAAAATAGTTTCTGGTTTAAATTACAAGAAGGTAATGAGATCCAGAAAGACGGATAAAAGTGTCTATTAACATAGCCTTACATTTTATGACATGATTTTCATGCAAAAGTTGTCTAAAGAACCAATGTATGTTTTAGCTTTCTCATTAAAATGCTCAAGGTGGAAGGTTGCTTTGGCCTCTTCGGGGAGGTTTGGACAGAGAACGGGGAGCGCCGAGGTGTGCACTTACCCGGCTTACTCATCTGCAGCCCGGCTCTGCCAGCTCTGTCCAGAGACCGGGAGCTTTTGTTAGCTCTTTGGCAAAAGTCCCGGGTCCAAGCCCAAATAAATGAGTATTTGGTGGACTCCACGGGTCATGTGGAAACCAGGGACTGGAAAATTACAACTGCTTCAAGTGAATATCAAGTTATTTGCAGGTTAGATGTTGGTTACTTCTGAACTGGAATCGCTAAGTGTAGTTGAGGAGAGAAAGGTGGGAAAATGTGTGTGTGTGTGTGTGTGTGTGTGTGCACGCTTGCTCTGGGGGCCACACCCAGTGGTACGTGTGTGGAGTGGGGGGTGGAGGGTATGGACAGTGTGGTACCCTGGATTGAACCTGCATGAAGGCGTTTGCTGCAGCCCACAGAGGATTGGCTGAGCTGTAGCCCACAGGTAAACAGGTCGACAGTTTGACAGATCGGCGGGGGAGGTAGCCAGATGATTGCTTTCTCTTTGGATCAGGTGAGGTCCCTCAAGCCTGCTAAAATCCCAGCTTCAAGGTTTTGCCTGCAGGTCTCCGTGGTTTGTGTTAATTAAACACAGTCAAGCTCAAGCTGCCTCAGCCTGGGAACCCGTGGGGTCCACGTGCCGGTAACAGTTCCCCGCTGCTGCTTTCTCTTCATGGTCATGCTTTTTAAATATTTTGATTTTTCGGTATTGCAATGCTCAGGGTTACTCCTGACTCTGCACTCAGGAATTACTCCTGGCAGTGTTTGAAGGATCTTATGGGATACCAGGGATTGAACCCAGGTCAGCCACATACAAGGCTGTCTTACCCCCTGTACTATTATTATTCTGGCCCTGTTCATGCTTTTTAACATTCTGGGATGGGGGGAGGGGGGTGTGCTCAGGGATCCTGGCTTGAAGGGACCAAATGGGGTGGCAGCGATTGAACCTGGGTCAACTGCAAGAGCCCTACCCAATATATTACATCTTTGGCCCCTTTGTGTTGTGTGTGTGTGTGTGTGTTTAAGTTCTGTTTCTTTTATTAGGGAAACCGCGATTACAGAAACCTAGAGAAAATTAGCCTCACCAGAAGTGCCCGCTGTGGGTGTGCCAGTACACATCTTTCTAATCTTTTATGTTGTTTGGTAACCTCCCCCACCCCCATCATAAGCAACACGCCTATAAACCTTGAGTATAAATACTGGTTGCTGTTTTTATTTCCTTAAGATAACTCTTAGAAAATAATTATTAAATCAGATAGCTTACATCCATTCTCAGGGCTTCTCCTTCGCCTTGCCCATGGGCCCGGGAAAGAATGCGCCCTTTATGCGCGCAGACGGCGGCTTCTTCCCCAGCCGGCAGGGACTGCGGGAGGTCAGAGCTCCATCCTTGTCCCGGGCCAGAGAGGACGCTCCATCCGATGTTCTGCGTCTCTGCCCTGGGGATCAAGCCTGGCACACCGGGTGGAACAGCCCTGGCGCTGCGGGCGGCCCCAGGGGGGACCTGGCCTGGGCCTGGGAAACGGTTTTAAGTTCCTTCGCTTCCCGAGGATGGCCCAGAGCGAAGACGCACCAGAAGATTCCGTTCCCCTCACAAGGGCCTTTTGTGCGCCCTGGACGTCCCTCCCCCACCCGGGGCCCGGAGGGGGAGCCCTCATTCTCGGTGCACCGGCTCGAGGGGAGGGCCGGCTCTGCGAGCGCCCCTGCACCTCCTGGGCCAAACGGTGCCCCTCCGGCAGCCCCGCGCCCCAGCTGGGCGCCCCCCGCCCACATCCCGGTGATGCCCAGGCGCGGCCCCCCGCTCGCGGTGGGGAGGGTGGCGGGAGTCCGCCCGGGTCCAACCGGCTCCCTCCTTCCTCCCCCGCCGCTCCCCCGCGCCCGGGCCCGCGGCCACGTCTGAAAGCGCCTCATTGTGCGCGCGCCGGCCCCGCAGATGCCGCCAATCCCGGGCGCCCGTCACTAGCCGCCGAGCGCCGGGGACCCCCGAGCGCGCACGGACCGGGCGCCGAGGCTTCGGGTAGGTGGGCGCGCGCTCTCCACCCGGGACCCCCGGGGGCGCAGGGTCGGGCCGGGCAGGGCGTCTCGGGGCGCGCAGGGACGGGGGTGCAGGCTGGCCAAGGCTCTGCTGGCCGCACACTGGCGCTCCAAGGGGTCTGACGCTCCGCTGGAAAGTTCTCCGAGAGCTGTTTGCGCGGATCCTGGGAGGAAAGGCCGCTCGGCGAGGGAGCCCAGACGCAGGTCGCGGGCTGGAGAGACAGGGGCGGCGGGGAGAGCGCTGGCCACGCGCGCGGGGCGCCGCGGGTTCGACCCCCGGCCGTCCAGAACGCCCCTCCCCAGCACCAGCACCGCCGGAGCTGACTGAGCGCAGGTGTCAGCCCCGGAGCATCGCCGGCTGTGACCGAGAAAGCAAAAAGAAAAACCAGAAAGACTTGGTAGGGCTGTGTGTGAGCTGGTAGCCAGGGGCTGCATGTGAAGGACACCCCCGGGCTTCAGCAGCGGTGCCCCCAGATGCGATGCCACCTCCCTGTTCCATCAGAGGCGTGAGCGCAGAGCTGGGGGGTCTGGGGACGGGTCGGGCTGAAGTGGGTGCTATTACCTTAGCCCAGATCGGGCCGGGGGCGCACGCAGAGCCCCTCGCCTGTAGCAGGCGTCCCGACCCCCGCTGCGCCCGCCCGCCTTTCTCTGCAAGCCTAAGCGAGCCTAGTCTCGTGTGGACGTGACTTGTGCATGCTCGGGCTTGCGACACCCCGTGTCTCAGGTACTGCGGACACCTGAAGCCAGTGGTCCCCGGCTCCTCCCATGAGACAGGCTTCCCTGCCAGCCACAGACCTGCTGCTTTGCATGTGGGACTCCCTGGGTCCAACTCTGGCACAGAAGGGGAAAAAAAAAAAAACCTTAAAGGGACTTGAAACTGGTCAAGGGGCCAGTTTCAATTCTGGTGCAAGGTCCTCCTCTCAAGCAGAGCCTACCCAGTTTCCGGAAGATTTCAGAATACAAGTATTCCGGATATTGCTAATAGCATTAAAGTAATTTCTCAATATCACCTAATGCTCAGCTCAAATTAAAATTTCTCTGATTACCACAAAGATAACTCCTTGCACTTGTTCAAATCAGAATGACAAGTCCATATGTCGTATTTGGCTGTTGGGTGTTCTGAGTGGTTCATCCGCTTGGTTTGGTCAGCTTTTGGGTCACACCCAGCAATGCTCAGGGGTCACTCCTGGCTCTGTACTCTGGAATTACTCCTGACAGTGCTCCGGGGCCTATATGGGATGCCAGGGGTCAAATCCAGGTCAGCCATATGCAAAGGCAAACACCCTCCTGCCGTCCTATTGCTCAGGCCTGGAGTATTTCTGAGGAGGTTCCTTCCTAGGAACTGAAACAGTGGGTTAGGCGCTGGACTTTCAC